TCATCCTGGTGCCTATTCAACATTCCAAGAGTCCTCTGTGCAGCTTCCACCCAAAGGCACTGGTCACAGATCGTTGTGTGTGTGTAAAAGTGTGCCCGCCTCGCCTGCAGGACCAGTTTTTAAACTCAGACAGCTTTTCGTCCAAGGCTGTACCACCACGAGGAGGATAAAGACACTTCTAATGTAGGATCAAGAGGTTGCAGTTAAAGTTGAGGTACACTGAGCCATACTGAGCCACAAAGTGGTCCTGAGAGACAAACCGTGAAAAGTATTATTTAAGAGTATATTTTTAAGATTTTCTTTTCAATGCTGCTCATACTTTTTAATCCTAAACTCTCTCTTAATGATTCTGAGTTGAAAACACTTAAACTTAAAAGCATAACTGACTGGAAAAGGCAAAAACTTACTAAAGCGCCCTTGAATAAACAACATATCCTTGACAGCGTTCTTTTAGTTGCTCTATCCATTCCACTGACCACAGGGTAGTGAAGAAAAATGTGATTATCTGTGCGTGCCTACTACTGCAATCGCAATGCTCGGGGGGACTCTATCACTCTTTGTACCATAGTAATATCCAACAGTACTTTTTCTGCACACACTGCACTCACTTACATATTTTAAGTGATTTGAAAGGCAGCTTATGAACATGAAAAAGCAGACCAATTACCAGCTTCCTCCATCCATTAATTAGCTATGCGCATGTTCCACCTGTAGCGAACAGTGGGCTGGAGCCTGTCACACAGGACAGGTGAGAAATAGAAACAGGTCAGGTTTGTTTTTTTTATGATCGCTTTTAAAAAAATATAACAGTAACATCGAAGAAATTGACAGTTGTTTGCCTATTTAATATATATTAGCAAAGTATTATGACCTTTCTTAAGAACCAAATAATCATATTTTGAACCAAACAAGAATGTTATATTTTTGGGGGTTTACGAACATTTTTAAACACTGTACATTAACAGAATGACAAGGCACAGAGTGTTTTCTCAAGCGTCACTGATATAACCTAACGAAGAGACTGTTCCAAATTTAAGAGGAAAGACAAAAGGAATAAAGCAAAAAATAAAATATATAAAAGAGGGAAAAGGAACAGAAATGTACATCTCCTCGATAAAGGAGGTTTAAGGCTCATTGAGAGTCGATGTGTGGCCCCTCAGAGTGACTCAGGCTGTGACTCATTGCAGCTGGCACTGCCTCCACCTTACACACATAAGCACATTCACTTTTTCATAAACCCTCAGGCCTTGTATATGTTACATGCCACACATGCTTAGTGTTCTGCCAGATTCCACCTGTTAGATAATGCATAAGCTCTCCATGCTGCGGTAATAACTCTTGGGACATTCCTGTGAATCAGCTTATGAGACGATATGAGAACAGTCGGAGATGCTCAGCCTACCCACGAACATGACTTAGAAGACAGATGCCGTTGAACTTGGGAATGTGCTGAATGTGAGCGTGTGATCTGTCTAACCACCTACTCGAGGGATTAGTGTAAGAGTGGTGGGATGACTCATCGGTCAATGACTTTGGAGGAGAGGGAGAATCAACATGGCCGTGTTGCCCACATGGTGTGTTTGTCATTCCACCTGTCTGGAGTGTGCAGCTCATGCTCCAATCTCGAGATGTGTACACGTGCAGTCATTATTACATCTCTGTGTCTGTGTGGTGGAGGCGATGATGCGGGCTGGTGGGTCGCCTGCGTCTCAGCAGCACTGGCAGACGGCGAGCTTGGCTCATGACCCCAGCACGCCGTCGAGCTGTTAGGCCATGTGTACACTGCCTAACCAGTCATGAGTGATTGCTATGATCTTGCCACAAATAATTCATGAGGAGCCCCGTGGAGGAGCTAAAAGGGATAGGGGAGAGAAAAGCAACAAGGCCACAGCCTATGTGACTGTGTGTGCATATGTGTGTGTGTCTGTGTGTGTCTGTGAGTAGAGAAGTTAGTTGGAAGACAGAGATGGATCCATCTGACAGATGTGTCTGGAATAGAAAGGAAAATCCCCTATTACCTACTGTGCTGACAAGTTTGAGCATTCATGTGTAGCTGTCAGTGTGTGAGTGCTTGTTTTTCCAAGGCAATTTGTGTTACTACGTCTGAAATGGCGCAGTGGGAGTGTTAACAGTGTGCATCACAATCGCAGGATGTGTGTGAGATTCTTGTAAAGAAAAGCGCCGCGGTGTTGGACACTTGATGAAGTGAGCTGAGATTTCTCTGACAGCCCCTAAAGCCAAGTGTTTAACTGTACATATTTTTTTGTTACTATTAACAGAGTGTATTATCAGGAAGGAACCGGGGCAGATGCAAGTAAATGACCTCTCTTAGAAAATATACTTATATATCTATTTCAATTACTATCATGAACAATTATTATGCTTTTGTTGACATTTGCAGTGGCATTGTTAGCAAAATTAAGTCATTAACAAGGACAACTACGATACGGTAATTTTCAAAGTAAAACATGTAATTCTCAACAAGCCTATAGCAAAACTCTGTTGGTAAATTACAGTGACATAAGGGAAGGAATTGTTGTTATCACTCCTAACCTGGCAGCAAAAATGCTTGTTTGGACATATGTGTGAGTGGGAAAACCAGTTCAAAACCAGCATAATGTTTACAGGCACAGAAAACAGTGAAACAGCTTCTGTTCAGTTTGTATAAATAAGACATTTTGATATAGACAAAAAAAACTGAGTTCTCTGTAATTAGTCTCATCTTACCTAAACATATCCTTCTTCTCTCTGGCCCACAGGCTGTGTCCGTCTTTTTTTGTTTGCAATGAAAGAGTCAACAATATAAGTGTCAAGTATTAGCATGTTCATTGATGGCTCATTTGCTTGCAGCTCACAGCGCCATCAAGTCTTTCGTTACAGGGGCTTAAAAATTTGTCTGTAGAATTGTATATTTTCTAAGCGAGACAACTATGAGACCATGAAAAGCGCTGTTTCTGACCGACTAGTGAGATGTAACTGTGGAATATGGACTAATGGAAGCAGGAGAGTGGGGAAAAGGGCCTGTGTAGCTCTGTGTGGCGTGTCATTAGAGAAGGAGTGAGGTTGACTGGTTCCATCTGACATTTACCAGTCTGTCTGAAAATGTCACGGAATGTCAGGTTTTACCTCTGGTTATAATAGTGCCTCTTCCTGCGAGCTATTGATCCCTAAAAACTTTTTCCTGTTTTATCTCCTTCTTCCTATGTCAACTGTCCCAAGACCGGCTATCACTGCTGTGCCCTTTGGTAAACAGAATTACTACAGAATTCTTTCTGCTCCATTGTTTGGTATCTCCTAGTCATACCAAACAATAATTCAGTGAAACACTAAGATCTATTGACAGAATATTAAATGTGTCAAAAATATCTTTAAATATTCACATGTAAGGCAATCATATATGCACCTCCTATTCCTAAATGCGGGTAAAGAACAATATCTTTATGAATAGGTTTCTGTTTGTATCAGGCATAAATTCTATTGCATGAAATGGAGTTGCTCAGGTCAATGCTCAAATTTCACAAAAAATATAAATCCAACACAATCAGGGCCAATTCAGCAAGAACACATTTCTCAAGCTCATTTCAAATGACAAACTAATCTCTTAGCCAATAGCCAATGTGAGAACTAATCATGCTGAAAAACACCCATCAGTATTTTCTTTTTTCTTTGTAATACAGAAGGAAATTTGTATCCCTCTTTCCGAAACTGGATTTGGATCCTTGGTCTCTTAATTTGTATTGGAGAGTGCTACAGTCTAGTCTATTTCTGTCCTTACAACTCTATTGTCCTCAGTTGACTGCCTTCACATCCAGAGCTGGATTTATTTGGCCTCTCTGCCGGATCAGGCAGATAGTCCCTGCAGCAATCTAACGTGCAATAGTTGAAGTTACTGCTAAGATAACTCTAAAACTACACTGGTTTGAGTTTTTATCAACAGACAGAGTTGCGTGGGCACATTCAAGAAGGAGTTTTTAAGAATTTTGTGTGAAATATCCATCCAAAGCTTTAATTTAGAAAATTTACTCATCTGTGCACATTAATTGGTAAGTGCAGCATTAGATTTCAAAACAAATCCATACCCAGCCAGGATAATGATCTTAATTAGCTATAGGTCAGCACCGAACACATTACAGACTTAGTCAGCAGTGCACAACAAGTCATTGTGACTTATCTTTTAGGAAAAGAGAAGTGGTTTGGCTTTAATTACACCAGGCGTGTGATTCAATTAGTTGGCTGAATTTTCTGAGTCACCTCACGATTATGAAACTCCAAGACTTTCCAAAAACAGAAGTAAAAATAAAAGTTGCATCATTATTTGTCTGTTACCAGTGAAAACAGCTTCAAAAGTAATGCCCTGATACAGGAAAGTGATTACTCATTCTTTTTATTTATGTTGTCGATAAGGCTTTTCGTGGTATGGAGGAAACTTGGTAAAGTAATCATACATGAAAACATAAGTTGCATGGAAATGAGGTTTATAAGCATCAATTAAAGGCAACTTTTATTCAGGTCTGTCCTCCTCTAGGATTTAGCAGAAACTCTTCATCTTGATGTGCTCACATTCCAATATCCAATCCACTGCATTTTTGAGTATCCTTTTAAGTTTTCAAAAATATGGTTAAGATGTGGCCACCAAACAGGTCGTGGGGGGGGGCTCAGACAGTTTATTGTGATTAAGCATTAAGGTAGTTGTCAGTAAAGACTCTTATACCATTAAAGTAATTCTAAACAGACACACCATAAGAAAAACATTGCTACTAAAAAAGTGATATTATCATATAAGATGAGCATGAGAAACATGAACCAAAAGATGCAGATCGTCACACAATGATTTCATTGTGTGACAAAAGCTGTTTGAATATTCAGTCAACAATTCCTAATAATTCACTTTTTCAAAGTGGCGTTATAAATACCTCCTTATACAGGTGGTTAAGGTTTCGGTGAATTTAAATTGTGACTTAGAATGCCCTCTAGTGTTGTGAAAACTCCGAGAAGTGCAGATGAGAAGTGTCCATGTCCCTGGGTTACATAACAGTGTTATCGCTTCTGTTCAGAAAAAGCTATTAGAATATGTATACATGGTAAAAGTCAAGAACGGCATTTATGTCTTTATCCGCAGGTACATCCGCACCATGTACCTCGGCATACAAAGTCACCGACAGAAGGAGAACCAGCGGCGATTTTACTGGGCCATGATGTACGAGTATGCTGATGTCAACATGCTGCGTCTGCTGGAGACCTTCTTAGAGAGCGCCCCTCAGCTGGTGCTGCAGCTCTGCATCATGATCCAGAGCAACAAGGCTGAGTGGCCGCAATGTAAGAGGCTTCCCTAAACGTCTAATGTCTTTTTTTTACACGTGTGTCCTACAGAGCTTTGATGCTCCTACAATCTACAACTGAGAATCTGTCATCTGTGACGTCCACGTATCTCTTTATACCGTCTGAGAAGCTTTCGCCACCATCAACACTTCATCACTTTTAAAACTCCAGTTTCCTCATCCAATACAGTTGCTACAGGAAAGCAATTCAATCATAAGAAGTGATACACTTCATGGTGGGGGTGTGTAGAAATGCCATCAATACATTCTCTGAGAGGCTCCATGTTGCAGCCCTGCAGATAATCCTCTATCATTTTTCAAGCTGCATGTAACAGACCTGACATATCTGCTGTCGCTACTTTTATGGATGTCTTTAGGGAATTGGTGCGCTAACTGAAGACCGTTGACTAGATGTTGATCTCACAAATAAAATGACTGTGTAAAATGTGATGGATTGCTTTAGCTGAAATAAAATGTTCTGTTTGCTGTGGTAAAGCAGCCAGCACAGGATGTCACCATAATTCTTTGGGATATACTTTATAGTTAAAGTGAAAAATGGATCTTTTCTTCGTGGTTCAGATGTTTTAAGAATCATCCATCAGTAGATGCCTGTGTCCTTCATTCTTGGTCTTTCTCTGCTTTTATTGTCTCTGTCTATTTCCCCAGGTGTTTCTGCCATGTCCTCCCTCCTGTCCCTGGCATGGGTGCTAGCCTCTTACCACAAACTCCTTCGTGATTCTCGTGACGACAAGAAGAGCATGAGTTACCGAGGTGCCCTGGTGCATCTGCTCTGGCGCCTTTTTACCATCTCTTCACGGGTGCTCTCCTTTGCCCTTTTTGCCTCTATTTTCCACATCTACTTTGGCATTTTTGTGGTGCTCCATTGGTGCGCCATGGCTTTCTGGGTCATCCATGGCGGCACTGACTTCTGCATGTCCAAATGGGAGGAAGTACTGTTCAACATGGTGGTGGGCGTGGTCTACGTCTTCTGTTGGTTCAATGTTCGTGGGGGCCGGACGCGGTACAGAATGGTGACTTATTATACAGTTGTCCTGTTAGAGAATGCCATTCTCACCTCACTTTGGTATGCGTACCGTGACCCTGCCACCACCGACGCCTATGCCTCTTTTGCACTCTGTGGCGTCTTCCTGTGCTTTGCCTCAGGTGTGGCCTGCATCATTCTCTATTACGGGGTCTTACACCCCATGGGCCCCCGACTTAGGGTGCTGGCTAGCTCCTGTTGCGCTGAGCTGCTGTGGGGCCTTCCATTACCGCCTGAAGCTGAGCCTATGGCTCCCACACCAGGGCCCCGTGGCTCCCAGGCCACCCCGACGCGGGGTCTGGCAGGAGATCATACAGAGTCAGATGAAACACCCACAGACACCTGCCTTCCCGTTTTCCAAGTGAGGTCTACAGAACCTGTGGATGCAGCTGGCAGGCCCATCCAGCCCGAGGGTCCACTTATTAAGATAGACATGCCCAGAAAACGCTATCCAGCCTGGGATGCACACTTTGTGGATCGGCGCTTGCGCAGGACCATAAATGTGCTGCAGTACATTAGTCCTAATGCAGTGGGCATCAGGTATAGGGATGGTCCACTACTTTATGAACTCCTCCAGTATGAATCCTCCCTCTGAAGGCATCTCCCACAGTTCTGTCACGATGTTTTACACACAATGATGCACATGCTTTTCCTTTTTTATTTCATTTTCCCCTTTCTTTCCTTCCCTCGTTTATTCTATCTTTCTGTATGGCAGTGGGCCAACTGTAGTCTGTTCAGTCAGTTTTCCAGCATCATGTGTGTTCTGTTAGCTAAGAATCTGTTAAGACAGTCTAAACACACAGTAATGGTTTATTTTTTGAAAAAAAAAAGGTATATGCTACATACCAGATAAATATGAGCCTACAGTATATTATGTGATACATACAGATGTCTCATTTCAGCCTCCTACATGGATAGAGGAGGCTTTTGTAAGAGTGTGTAGATAACATATGAATGTTTCATTACAAAATGTGTTAATGCATCAATCTGAATTGGGGAATCAACTTTTGAATCCTTGTGAAGGGCACACTGTATGTCCCTGTGACCTGGGGCTGATGCAAAGCCTGATGGGAATGATGGAGGAGAGTCTCAGAAGAGGCAGGTCTTTGCACATCCCAACTTTTACTGCCATTCTGTATATAGAACGTTGAAATATATGATAATGTTTACGAAGTCCATACTCCAAACAAAAAAGAAGAAAAAAACACATAACATTTCCCATAAAACTACAAATTCTAAAATCAGCTTAAACAAAGAAACATCTCAAGGAAGCATTTCCTATGTATACGTTTTCATCCCTCAAGTTCGGTACTCTTTTTTTTAGATAAAAAATGATTAATCAAATTCACAAATAACAGGTTGTAAAATCAAACACCCAATCAGTCATATTCACCCACAAATTCAATGCTTTACAGTGCAGGCTGCCCTCCAGTGGAGGGAAGCTGCAATAGCAGGCCTTATTCGGTCACTTCTGCCCACTTCTTAATAGTGACAACACAAAATCTTACAACAGCCCTCTGAGATAAAAAAATAAAAAGATAAGAAAACAAACAAACAAGTTAATTTTAAAAAAGCACATTTTCTAAACTGGAGAGTGAAAGATCATTAAAACATTCCAAAGAGTTAAAATGTTAAGCAGATTTCAGGTGTTTGGTGGGTGGAGGGGCACGTAGGTGTAGTAAGAGCACTCTTTTAAGTGCAAAGACAGCCTTCAAGGATTCCTCCACCATTCCCTTTTGAATCCTAGAAAGTAACCCTCTTTTTGCAAACGTACTGTTGGTTTTAAAGAAATGTTTTAGGTTAATTTGTTGTATGTGCTTATTGGGTACAAAAACTTAATGAGAAAGTATAATGAGAGATAGATTCTTGATAATATTATGAGATGATATTTATATGCTATTTTACTTCAGTCCATACTTAAGTCTGTATTTATATTCACTGACAACTATATTTTGCCAGAACACATAACTTTTTACATAAGAAAACTCTGCAGTCATTTCAGTTATTATCGTTACTTCTTAACATCTTTTTGTCCTCAAAGAGGTAACTCTCTTCAATAGGTGTACAGGGCAACTGCTCCTGGCATCTTCTGGAAGTTGAAACAAAGCCAAATGGTATCTTATTGTACTGTCTTTCTAAATTATGTGCCCCTATGAACCAGATGAATGAGTCTGTGCAAAACCTGTGCCGTCTTTAGGCCAGCTGTGCAGTAATCAGAAACGTATGTACTTCTGACTAAATCTGCAGGGGCTCTCCTCCACAGATACCTAAGGGACAACCACTGTATTCACTCCTGAAAAAGGTTTATATCCATATAAATATATAACGTATATCTGCATAAAAACATGCCTTCTAAGTCAAAGGAGCTTGACTAAAATTTCCAGAGAGGGCTATTGAACAATTCATGCGAAAAATGAATGCATTTCATACTCCAATTTTGTCTATCTCAATGCTTCTCTGAAATATATAAGGTCTATTTATTTTATTTTTTTACATTGTAGTGTTACATTAGTTTAACATGAGGTATTAGTACAAATGCACCCAACAGGGAATGTCCAAAAGTCCTTTACAACACAGAGATCCCTTTATCCTAGCTTACTGGCTCTCTGCTTAGCTGTGGCTTCACGTGCCTGCTAACATCGTACTGTAAAGGGCAGATGCTCCAGAAGTCCAGGGTAAAGGTGAACGAGGGTCTTTGCCAGGAATGGAAAAGAATATGAGGACAGAGCTTACCAAAGGGCCTGACAGGATTGTGGATGAGTTCTCATGTGCGTGTGTGAGAAAGGTGTTAGCTGTGAGACTTACAGACTTGTTCCCTTAGTATGCTGGCATGCCTGCGGGTGTGTACGCAGACGTGTCCTCAGCCCTTTCCCTTGGTTCTGTCCTCTCGTCGATTGTTCGGCTCCATCCTTGGTTGCTGCTCCCCCTCTTCCCCATCTCTGTGGTGTTTGGCCTTGGCACGCTCCCACCAAACACTCTCACACTCTCTGGTAACTGAACAACGGGGTTGAAGCTGAAAAAAAGGGAGATCCTGACATGAGAACATGCAATGAGGTACACTGCCATAACCAAGAGCTTCAACATCCAGGGTCTGCCACCCTTCACCTTAAAAGCGATGTTCAGCCCTGAGTAATTGAGAACTGTTGGGTCAGCTTTGGTGGATCAAAACATCCAGCGAACCACATGTGTGGACACACATGTGTATGCAAACAACCAAGATGCTCATTGTTTACCATAGTAGCAAGAGCAGTTCCTCTATGTTGTAGTGAATGAACAGCCATGTTATAGTTAGTCTTTGAGTGAGTAATGAATTAGTATTACTAAACTAAGAAAAAAAACAAACAGCCAATACAGGGGTTCCTCAGGACCATCTTACAAGACCACTGAACCAGCTGACTCAGGGGTGTCTCAATGCAGTTCTCATACCCAGGCATGTCCTCAAGGGTCTCCATTTTCTCCTTCACACATTGAATCCTGGACCACTCCTCGACTGGGATTGTACCACAAAGTTATGGTTTGCACATTTTGCTTCAGAGGAAACAGCTACTGATTCCTGTTAATGGGGGTAGGGGGCAGTTTTGTGGTAGTAGGCTGCCTGGCAGGCAGTGCATCCTTTCTAAAACAATACTGACCTTTTCCAGATGTGGATACATGTCAAAATCAGGTGCAAATACACTGTGATTCATTCATTTTTGGGTATGAGGGTGTGTATGAGACAAAGATAGTTCATAGCCTCATAAACAAAGTTCTTTACAACTGGGCTGTCTTTAATTTAGTGGTGCTTAATTTGTCGTAAAATGCTGAGCATTCATGCTTGTGTAACTGTGTCAATAAAAGAGCAGCGATGGCAGTCAATTAAACTGATTTGAAAAGTGCAGAAAGAGTCTTTATGTATAAGTCTGAAATGTTACAAATCGTACAGTATATGCCACATATTTCGACAGAACAACTACCATTTTGACACATCCTCTAACTAATGATTAACCAGAAGCAAATGATAGCCACAACACACAGCAAGAGCGTCTGAACAGCAGGTTTGCTCGTCTCAGTCCTTGTTGTGCCTTGTTACTTTGGGTGCTTCAATCCAGCCATGGCAGCCACGTCCGCAAACAACAACACCAGTGTCTTTCTTTACTCGTTTTCATGTGCCAACATGCTCACAAAGATGGATGGATAAACCCAAACAACACTTTCTCCACAAGCAGATACAGCCAAGTTCCCAATTCCTGAAAAACATCACAACTGACAGTGTTTTTTTTTTTTTGTTGACATTCTTACAGTTCCATCCAAGTTGTCAGCTGCAAGACACTTTTTCATTAGTTACAACTGAACCTCTCAGTGCAACACAGCCTAGTGGCAGGAGCTGACTAAAACCCTGTATCTGGCTCAGTTGAGAAGGTTTGTTCATTCTGAACATCTATATTCAGTAAAGATTTAGTAAAGCTGAATCACCACAAACCCAGCTGATTCAGCAAGATACAGCTTGCAGTACAGATGCTTGAAAAGCATTACTTTGGACTGTTTGATGGAGAGCCACGATTGGGTCAATGATTGTTTAGTACTCTTGTCTATGCCTTTACATAGTATTCTGTCTTGCAAATATAAAAGATTTGTAGTGCCAAGAAGTAAACTTTCTGTGTTCTTTTTTTGTTTAGTTTTTTTGCGTCTCGTGTTAACGGTACATCCTCTCGCCAAAACAACAATGCCCACATTATTGCATTGAATACAATGTGGAGGATGTTGACGACAAAATGTGAAAAAATCTATGATGTTGTATTTCCTAAAATGGAATGATGAAAGAGGTCTGATCATTGGTTTGCTTTTGAATAACCTCATTTTCTTGCTTCTCTTCCACTTCCCAGCATGCCTTTCAGGATACATTGTGAGATAACCCTCAACATTTAGCATGTAAGTGCTTTCAACTGCACAAAAGACCCTTTGATTTCTGCATTAATGTGTAGCAGCAGGGCACTGTAGTGTTAGGCCTGGTTTAAGTCTCTACTTTTGTGTCATGAACATCGAGGGGGCAATATTTTCAGATGATAAAGTGGTGCATTCTCTTCTGTTACTTCTTTACGTTTTGCCAATAACCTGGTGCTGAATGAATACACTAAAAAGGTGCTACCACTGCTAACAGCAGTGTCCATTTCTTGGCTCTCTGAGAGCATAGCCTTCCGGTTGAGAAAGCCTGCACCCCACAAACTTGCAGTCTCAGAATGCTCTGCAGCCAGCACCTCAGATCCACTCAGTTTACAGCTGAACGGTGACATTTTAATTTTCCAATCTGCACAAAAAACAACAGTTACTCTACTGCTCAAATACTGTTTATTTTACTGGGTTCCACATACAGCACGTTTTTATTTTTTTAAACGATTCAGTCTGCACAATGGGTTCTTTGTTTTTTTTTTCACTGAAAGAATGAAACCGGCAGATGACAAAATGCATCTTTTTCGTAAAGGTACAGGAGCACAAATGTACTTCTGCCACAAGAAGTTGAGTAAAAATATAAATAGAATGTGATTGCTGTGTTGTAAACTACTGTCATCTAAATGTCTTTAACCTGTGTGTATCTATTTTTGTTGTTCCTGTAGAACTGGCTGTAATATTTTGTTTAAAAATGGATTTGATATTCCAATGAAACAACTATGGTTGGCATATTAATTGCTGCTCATTTTCTTTTTGTAATTGTTCTTGAAAGTGTTTGGAAATATTGCTTTGTTTATATTCAATCAGTTTATAGATTGTGTTAGCTTGTTGGTGTATTTCACAAATCTATCAGGATATTCCCTAGGCTATATGATTTATCTGGGGTATTCCAAAAGTTGGCATAATGTTAGTAATCCAATATGCTACAAAACGTAGCCTATTTATGAAAATGGACTCATACGACTTTTATTGTGACAAAGAAGGAAGGGTTACCTTGTTGTTGTTAAATATAAAAATGTAAGTTAATTGGTTCACGGAATCCCTGTTCTTTAAAAAATCAAATCTGATGTCCAGTGTTGTACCTACACCCTATTTTTGGGAACAATATGAATATTATTAATAACATATGGTGCTAAAAGTTCTTTTTGTATGTTTTGGTTTTTAGATTAAAAGAGAAATATTATGCTGAAAATGTAATGTTATAAGCCTTACTGTAGATTCATATATCAGACTGTTCATCCCAGAAGAGAAAAATAAATATAGTATTTGAAAGTGCAATACATCAACAGTGTTTTCCCCTTCATGTCTCACATGTTTGACGCGTGAAAGAAAAAGGCTCTTGAACGGAAACATGACACATTTAGTGTGACGCCTGTCAAAAGTGGGGCAGTTAGAGCGCAACTGTTTAGTAGGCTACTGATCTCATTTTCACAGACAAGCTTTCTTCAACTTAGTCTGGTCTGCTTCACGGCACAGGGTTAGAAATGTGGTTCATTTGAACCACACACTAGTTTTAGGTGTCATTGTGCTGAAAATTGCTATTTGTGATGTTAATAAAAAATGAAGTTAACTGTCAAAGAGTTAAAGCATCTAATGTATCACACAGCCAGGACAAGAAAACTAACAATTCGTTAAATGAATCTTTACTTTTTTCCCAATAACAATCAGCAAGGAAAAACAAACACAAAGCAAATTAAACAAAAGTAATCAAATTATTCTATATATCTTTGCATAGTGCTCCTCTTGTAATATTGTTGTCAATACAGATAGATTTTTTAAGAACCAAAATGGGATCTGACATTGTATAAATTCAAATACCATGATCAGAAACTATCCAGATGACAATAACATATTAAAATATTAAAATGTGTAATTGTGCTAACATTTATCACTTTTAGAAGTTCACTATGTATATCTTAAGTTGTCACGTTTCCTGTTAGAGGAGCAGGCTTCTATTATTGAAAACCTAACATCAAACTACACCCTTTAAGTGCACAGAGAAATAGTCATGAGATCAATCAAAGCATATTTTTTTGTAGAAACGGGCACCATGCAATTTTAATTCTAGGCCACCATTTAAAAAAAAGATTAAGAATATCAGCAGAATTTCCCTGCCATAGGCACGTTTAGAAAAAGAAGAAAAGGTGAGCCTGCTCTACACTTAAATATCCTCTTTCTCTACAGGTGTTCTGCCTTTCCCAGTTTATCTCATCTGTCTCAATTCACAGAAAGTCTGCGCTGTTCAGGCTGGCTCCACTGGGCGCTGGGCGGTGTAATCTCAGAAATGTACAACACAGATGCCTGTTTTGGTTTGTGCAAAGCAAAGCATGCTGGACCACAGTTTAACGCCCAAAATGGCGGCACGATTGAAAAGTTTTGGCTGTTTTGTCCGAGTTTGTCTTCTCTGTAGACCATTTCTTTAGTTGTTCTGAATCCAAGGAAACATCTCTTCTTACATGTGTATAATTCCGCCATTTTTTTCTAATAGTTTGGGCCCAGAATAAGAATCAGGATGGCATTTTGCCTTAAACTCAAAACTGGGCATCTCTTCACAAATGCTATGCTACGTTAAGGTAGCCTAGCAAGCTATATGTTGTCAGATAAATGCTTGGCTAAAAGCTTCGGTCGTAACAACTTGTGTCACCTGGATCCCTAAACTGAAGAGAATATGAAGACCAAAATCGTAACTTAGCAATGGAGGATGATGTAAAAAAAGTAAAAAAGGTGAGTAGAGTTATTGACACTTTTTCAGCAAGTTGGCTGCATGCTAACTTATTAGCTAGTTAGAGTAGGCTAGGCTAGCTGTTAGCTGAAGAAGTTAAGTGGACTCATTACTGAAGTTTAGTGTCACATAACCGACAAGCGCACACGGGCAAAACCTCCACTCCACAACGCTGACAAGGAAAATGTTTCCTTCAGTTAACGTCCCTTCGAATATGACAAGTGTTATCGTATTAGCTAAGGGCAAGCAGAAGTAATTACCTCTGGAAAGGCGAAGTGTTTTGGGGAGGATTTGAGACGTTAGCGTCTCCATGCAGATCCATGACAAGCCGCCGTCAGGATTCTGTGCATCATAGTTTCTCTTGACAACTTAGGCCCTCCTTGCTTTAATTTGTTTAGATGTAATTACAAATCAATTTCTGTGTGTCATCGACAATTGCTGTGTGTTTATAAAACCCATTTTATAACCGACTGTGCAGGTAGGTTTATCCTCCATAAGTCATTAGCGAGGCTGAACGGTAGTTGACCTAAAGCTAATCAGAGTCCAACCGGGTTTCCAAATGGAAAAGCTCGTATCACATCAACCGTCGAAGGCTTTCAGTGTTGTTCAAAGGTAAACTCGCTCTGGTTCTCGACACATCTATATACAGACACACGGAGCCCGGCTGATTTGCAGACGTGCTTGTTATCGTTGCTTCCTGCCGTGTACCAGAACAAACGCAGCTGATAGGGGAGGAAACGGCGGCAGGATGCCACAAACCTACCGCCTGAGCAGCGTTCCAGAGAGTGCGCGATCCGAAGTCTGGATCTTTGACACGAGAGAAACTGGTGGTGTCTTTTTCTGTGCTCCAGTTTGCATTTGAAAGGGAAAGTTTGGAAAATGTTTTTCACGAGAGCCTCGATGGTTTGTTGTAACAACGAAGATGTTTTTTCTTCCCGCGGAGATTAGCAGTACCGAGGTTTATTTTCAGAATGACTTCCACTCAACTGTCCATTAAAAAAAACTATCGCCCCAGGTAATAAAGTCTTTCCATAAGTAGGTTGTTACTCCACAAATGGCGTAGCAGAGCCAGCTATAAGCTTATAAATAGTTTAAACGATGTTGGGTATTATTAGTCATTGATGCTATTGATCAGTTTCATTATGCTCAATTTGAGTGTCCATACTGCATGCAGTTCCTGTTTTCACCACAAGGTGGTGGTACTGTACTCCATTTGGTCAGATGTTTACATTTCCACAGAGCAAAAAGGTCAGGCTCCCTTTTATGGCATGAAGGTAGGTGCTCTATCTGAATTTATTTAGAAACAAAGTGTAGTGAAGACTGTATTATTTCATTTCTATATGACTGTTTATTTTTAGATAGACTCAAGAAGAAAGTAGCTAATTTCCCACGTTTTGAGTGTGTAAGATCATCCTCACTCGGTCCATTTTATTGACAGACTTATGAAGGGAGACCAGTCATCTTGTGGCCTGTTTCTTGGGTTAACCTGGGTGGCTCATGTCTCACATTACACAAGCTGAAGCTGTAAAATGTTAATGCATTTGTCTTAAATGGAGATATGCTGTTAAATAATATAGTGGTCCAACTGGTCTTTAGTCTGAAGTGGGATCAAATGTCAGCACATAAGACACGAGCCATATTAAAGCTTGTGTGTATTCAAAATAGGTTGCATGATACTTCTACCAACAAGGATTGTTCACAGGATGCTCTCATGGAGCTAAAATAAGCAAAAACAAACAAAACAATATATTATGAATGTAACTTTAGATTCTTAGACTCTTATTGAGCTTCCTCATGGTGAGTGTACATTTCTAAATCTGCAACATAAGGATCTTTGCAGACATGACAGCTGTGGTTAGCATTGCAGAGTGTACACTACTGGTTCTTTCTCTGTGGTTTGGCAGTGTTACGCACAGGCTTGGAGTTACAAGGTCCCTGAAGAATGATAGAAGGAAGCGATGCAGAAATGCATTCCAGACTGGTAAAAGTAGCGCACGTCACATTTGCCATTTTTAAAAAGATTTCTTCCGCCGTCAACATCGACTGTACTGTTGTCAAAACGTATGAAGTCAGCTGAAGATAAGTGTCTCAATACCCAAAGCACGTGTCTTCACAGGAAGCTGAGGCCAGTTTCTTTCCTGTTCTTGTGCCTGAGAATAAAGTCAGAGACACTTCCCCTCCGATGATTTGGGGTGAGACCCCTCCCTTTCGCGGCTTGGGTTTGGTCGGGTTACGCTCTCGGCAGTTGGCGGCTGTTGGCGTGTGCGAGTGGAAGCAACAGGTGCTTGTTGCTGTTGCAGCATTCGCAAAGCTGAAGTCGAAAAGAGGAATTTAGCTGTGAATTAATGGAGACTGAGGTAGGCCTTAAAGAATCCTTTGACTCTAAAGGGCTTGTTTTGCAGAGGTCTAACATGTCAGAGAGTGTGCTGCGAACAGTTTGTTAGTTTCTCAAGCTGTGATGGGTTAAGGTTAGTTCTGGAGCTGAGGGGTTTGTGAAAAGTGCCATATTTAGTTTATCCTGGTTCTTATACCGTCACTGTGAGGGGAAGCAGGCACAGCAGAAATGACACAGCAATGGATGTTGGCACTGTCAATGCAATTCAGTTTCCACTTTGTTTTTGTTTGGATGTCCTTGATCTTAAAGGTACATTTGTAAGTGAATGACATGCCTGGAATTATCATGGACACTACCATAATCTGTATGCTACAGGTTCACCATGTAGAATGTGGTACGGCACAGATCTGAAGGGAGCGACGTTCTAACAGCTCATGAATGTGGCATCGCTACACAAACAGTCTTCATATTGGGCTCATCTTCTGCTGTCTGTGTCTTCCTACAACAGCCAGGCATCGTGTCTCCATTCAAGCGCGTCTTCCTGAAAGGAGAGAAAGGGAGGGACAAGAAGGCCCAGGAGAAGGCCACCGAGCGCAGGGCCCTGCACACCTTCTCTCTGTCTCAGCCTGACCACCGCATCGACCCCGACATCCTGCTCAACGACTACATCGAGAAGGAGGTCAAAGTGAGCGTTGGGAGCCGCAATTGTTTTAATTTTATCAATCGGCTGATTGATCAAATTATTTTGCAGCTTAATCTCTTTGCTCTTTCACATCTGACATTGTCTGATGTCTCTTGTGTGTTCAGTACTTAGGACAGCTGACATCAGTGCCAGGATACTTGAATCCATCAAGTAGGACTGAGGTCCTTCAGCTCATTGACAATGCAAGAGTACGTTTCTGAGTTAGAGGTTTTAATTCGATGCTTTGGTCAGAATAGTTTTCAAAGGGCTAAGAAAATGCACACAGAATGATATGAGGGATCTTTTTGTTCCGTGTGAATGATCTCTTGTGTGTTGTTCAGAAGTCGCATCAGTTGGCGGGCCAGCTGACACCAGAGCAGGATGCAGTGGTTAGCTTGTCGGCGTACAACATCAAACTTGTATGGCGAGACGGAGAAGACATCATCCTGCGAGTGCCCATTCATGACATAGCTGCCGTCTCCTACATCAGGGATGACTCGCTGCACCTGGTGGTGCTAAAAACAGGTACAGAGAAAACGGGCTGTAAAGATTCAATTGAATTAGAGGCGTTTGCTTCGTGAGTGTTCAGGTGAGTTGGAAACGGTGTGATTCATTTCTTTTCTGTTTGTTTCTCAGCCCAGGAGTCTGGAGGTTCTCCCTGTCCCAGTTCATGTCCTGATCTCAACAAGTCCCAGACCCTGAGCTCCTTGTCAGAAAGCGGGGCTGTACTTGTGGAAGTTTGCTGTCTGCTTGTGCTGGCGGTTGATAATAAGGTAATAATCTGAGTGCTGAGTAATTATTGTCGAATTGTAGAAGATAAATGCTCAAAATGTAACCAGAATCCTCCACGTCTGTGGCCTGTGGGGGCACACAGTGGTAATATCTGACTTATTTGGACTTTTAGGCGGCCGCAGAGGAGCTGTGTCTTTTGCTCAGCCAGGTCTTTCAGATTGTTTACACAGAATCCACCATCGACTTCTTAGACAGAGCCATTTTCGATGGAGCCACAACACCTACCAGACACCTTTCTCTGTACAGCGGTGAGGAGAAACCAAAATCAGAGCCATCCCGCACAAATGCAACGGATTATTGGTTTGATTTAATGTTTACATTTATACATTTTGTCCAATTCAAAGATGATTCTTCAAGCAAAGTGGATGTCAAAGAACCTTTTGATGAAGAAGCCAGCTCCTTGTAAGTACTCCGCTTCTGAGTGACAGTTACTGGTCGTCCTGACACATTTTGATGCATTGCTGAGGGTCAGTACAGCGTTGCTTCTTGTTTATACGGGGAATATTTTCTTAGCCCCATCCAGGTTACTATGGATGCAGACGGAAGCTCTCCATCTGCATCCACCCCGGCGTCCCCTCAGACCAAGACGGCCAGTGAAGGAGAGCTCAGCACGACTGCGGCCGAGCTGCTGCAGGACTACATGACCACAGTACCCAGTTCCATCCTATTCTACCTTTTCAAAGGAAAATACTTTTTCTTTACACGTGTTTAAATGTTGTGTTTTCCCTGCCCCTCCAGTTGCGGACAAAGCTGTCGTCACAAGAGATCCAGCAGTTCGCTGCTCTGCTCCACGAATACCGCAACGGCGCCTCCATTCACGAGTTCTGCATCAACCTGCGGCAGCTCTACGGGGACAGCAGGAAGTTCCTCCTCCTCGGTACGGCCGGGCTCTCCCCACTACAGTCGGCACAGATCTCATGTAAATGCACATGTGCACCAGTTCTAAGCGCTGCCTCTCTTGCCTGTAGGCCTGCGTCCCTTCATACCAGAGAAGGACAGCCAGCACTTTGAGAACTTCCTGGAGACCATTGGAGTGAAGGACGGCCGAGGGATCATCACGGACAGCTTCGGCCGCTGCAAACGCACCGCCAGCTCGGCGTCCGATTCCACCACCAACGGCAACGGCGCCACCGGAGGGAGCAGTGAGAGCACAGCCTCGGACGAGGGCCAGGAAGCCTCGGAGGGGGACGAATGGGACCGCATGATCACGGACATCAGTAACGATATCGAAGCTCTGGGCTGCAGCATGGACCAGGAGGCAGTGACCCCCTGACACCTGGGACAGGGGCTGGTGGCCTACCCGGATGAGCAGCAGGCCACAGCTGCGCGGATGAGATGAAGGTGGTCCTAAGCACTGACCCTAAGAGTTATTTCATTGTATATTCCTCTAATTGTTGAGAGGACATTCCATTGTCTCCACACTCAAGGAAAACCTCAACTTGTTACCATTGAATCAACAAATGCACTTATGGAAACCTTGTAGTTGACATGCAGTTAAGTGTGCTTGTATTGCATTTCAGATGGATTGATGGCCTCTGATTTTTTTTTACATTTTTTGACAACTTTCTTCTTTGGTTTTGTACTCATTTATTGGCAGCATCTGCCACTGCTATCAGTAATGTAGCAAACCTCTCCAGTCAGTGCAACACAGACTCCGGAGAGTTAATCAGAGGACTGTTCACATGTTTGTTTTGTTTTTTCAGAAGGCAAAGACTGAGGTTTGTGCGTTTTGTGTAGCTAGAAATCAACCGGCTTCATTCACCAGAACTTTATTTTTCATCACGTGGTCTTGCTGTGACCGTGTAACATTTTGCTACGTATAATGTTTTTATCAGTAAGATTTGTATACTGCTTTGTTTTACATTATTATTTAACCTGTTTATCAGTGTTATCTCATTTATAGAGTTTTTTTATTCTATTCTATTTTTTTGGTTGTCGTTTTTTTTGCTTTGTTCAGAATGAACGAGAAAATGCTGTAAAAACAAAGACCCGTCGATTTTAAAACAACTGACAAAACCATTGAGTGGCTGGCTGATGTAAATTGATGATTTTCCATCTTCAGAGTCGTCATGCAGGTCATTCTTTGTGGCGTGGCATTTGCCACTGTGCCTTCACACCACAGTACTACTGCCAGCTGTCGGACACAGACGGGCAGGAAGGAGCCCTGGTTATTAAATCCATTTTCACCCATTGTATGTTGCTGGTCACGATCCATAAAAACATGACCTTTGCACGCGTCTGCTGTACGGTCTCTGGTAGCGAGCACTTTGAGGGGAGACTAACTTCTTTGCTGGGATGCACCTAAACTACAAAACTTCACGAAAGCAATCATCCATGAAACTGCCGGGACAGCTCGAGATGAACACGTTCTGAGTCCTTAAAGGCCCCCCAGCAGGCTTTTACTCACATTCCTCACAGATCTCTTTGTGTATGACCACCCCCTCTTTGGTGAATATACATACAAATGTAGAACCAACACAACCGTTGATCCTGGTTTGTTAGGCCTGCAGGCAGAGCCTGATGGGCTGACGGGCTCAGACAGACAGGGCTGCTCTGAACAGACGACTTGTGTAAGAATGTTTTTCTTTTTTTTGTCATCACATCATCTCATCATGTTGCCACCAAAGGAGATTAAATCATTGTTTATGATGTGCCGTTGGTGTAATTGAACTTTTTTTTCAGTGCTAAAAGGAATTGAAATTGGCCTCCTGTAAAGTCCTCTCTTTAATCCAATTTCAGACTTAACAAAGAAAGGACCCTTTTTAAAAAAAAAAAAGCCATTTTGGGGGAAAAAAACGTATTTTCTGAAAAGATAATTGAAGGCACTTCTGTTGTTTTATAGAGCTTGCAAATAAACAGCAACAGTTAGGAGCTCCTGTTGCCTAAATCCCTGTGTTTAAGAAGGCTTTGTTCAGCCAACTCCCTGCTCAGTTCATGGAAAGGATGGTTTTTAAATTGTAAGGAAAACTCCATTAAATTTATCTTTGAGTGAAAACAACTTTTTTGTGGAAATCGGATTTCACAAAGAACCTCCTCAGACTATTCAGGCTTCTTCAACAATCCTATATTCGTATTTTTCTGCAAATATTAAAGGATCTATTAATGATGAAGATTTTCTGTCATTAAGGAAGGATATTCTTTCTATAGATCTTGGCAAGCATTCATTTATTTGTTTTTTCCAGTGATCTTTCTAATTAGTAATTTTTTTAATCTATTTAATTATTTCTGTGCATGTCTTTCAAACAACATCCTCCTAAGTGACTAATCTGTGAATGTGTAAAATGTCAACAAATGGTGCTATAAAGCTATGAAAACAGCTTACCCGTTGGATCGAGAGAAAAAGTCTGCTACAAAATGAAAAAAAGACCTGTGAGGAAAAAGCTTTCTTAAAATGAGTTTTCCACAAAGAAAATCCTGTTAAACATATCCTTTCCCCACTGCTGGCCGTGTTTATGTGTGTTCGGGAGCTGGTCCAAGTGTTCTTCTGACCTAAAAAAGTTCTTATTTCAGCACCACTCACCAATAAACATGTCATTTCTTACCCGTTTTTGAGTAAATCACTAATAAGTGGAAAAGCCACGTCCAAGCTTGGAGAGTATATAATGACAGGAGGGGAAATCTCATTTCAGTTTCATCATGCAAAGCTTCGGAGTGAGCCGAGGACCAGAGTGACCCTCCACATTTTGTCTGTTCACTGTTATATTCTCCGGGGTCGATGTGGTCTTACGCCACCTCTTCTTCACAGCACTTCTCTGGGGTGAGATGTGCTCACACACTCCCACTCCAAAGGCTCCCGCAGGGAGAAGCCGTCTGGGATTGCCGCCCACCTCCCGCCGCCGCCGCCGCCTCGGTGTTTGTTCAGCTCAGTCACGGTGAGACGAGCCTCTCTGTGGTCCCACATCTGGGAAATAGCTGACCCCGCTCGGTAGCTCCTGGTGAATTCAAATGAATGTCTGCAAAGGGAATGCCACATCTTAAATAGACCTAATTTTGTGTGATCCACTTCATCCAACGCCGGATTTTTAGTCACCATCCGACATAGCCTACTTTTTCAAACAGACAGCATTTGGGTCTTCATGGTCTAACTGCAGGTATTGCATCTAATTCTAGGCCTGTCAGTTGGTTCCCGTCTGTTTTGCTGCTTGTCATTTCCTCATGCAAATAAAGCGGCGGAGGGATTATATAAATAACATGGCATGGACAATTCAAACAATGTGATCTTTTTAATCTTTTGCAAATAGTTTCCAAATTTGTTTGGAATTCTGTTTTAGGAAAAAGGGGGGGGGGGAAGAAAGAATGAGGCAGAGAGCTCATCCCAAAATGTATGTGACTGCCCTCTTGGCAGCCTCACACCGACAGAGTCGTGGGTTTTCAGCAGCAATAAGCTCAAAGAGCTGGAGCTCATGCATGAAAACCTCCAGCTCAGCAGAATCATTCATGACATGCCACTTCAGGACGGAGAGGGTTGCAGGGATCACGTAGAAAAAGTCATAATCCCACAGTCGTGCCTCCACACATACCGTTTTTATGATTTCAGCGCCATTAGAGCTTAGTCAGAACAATTCTACTATCAAACAGTCTTTCCAGCAATAAATCAGCTGCTAAATTTTGGAACATAAAACGTCAGGTAGGGAAAGCGTTTATCCCTGAATCCTGCCAGTGATTAAAAAGCATCCTGTCTTATCCAGCAGCTGCACACGCGTCACACAGCTCCAGAATACCTCAGGGGATACTGATCTGAGACTCCTCCTTGTGTTTTACAGCTTTCTCACAGGGACATATGAGACACTTGACCTGAGCACGAAGCATTTGAATGATTGTGTTTGACCCCTATCAGTTTACAGTTTTGTTCTGGCTGAAATTGTCTTTGTAAAATTGTATCTTATTTAACATAGCCACTTTTTTTCTCGCATCACCACTCAGGACACTCATGAGTCATGGACATCTATATTATTTTTTTACAACTCAGACAACTCTACAAAGTCTCTGTAGAAACCATTTATTAACTTTGGATAAGAAGGGGGGGGGATATCCAGAAGAGATTGAGATAAGTTCAGTTTCAGAGTTGATCCTGGATATTAAATCATGTGTATCCTTTAAACAGACAGTAATTATCTCAGGAACAAAAGCTCCCATCAAGAGCTCAGGACTGTACAATGGAGCCTTAGTTAGAGGGGAAAAACTTTGCTAAACCACTGGAGACCGTCTTCAGTTCAGAAAATACAGCAGACATGGAAATTTAGCAGCGATGTGGCTGATGAGGACAAAGAAATCTGCCAGGGACTGAAGAGCTGAAGCCTCAAAGCACATTTCATTGGTCTCCTAAGGTGGTAGGCTTATCACACGATCCCTGAACACCAAAAGGAGGTGACCATAGCAAAGCTGTTACTGAACAAACTGTTGCTTATCAGGGGGGAGGAGGCACCAGCTAGCAGAGAGAGAACCGGCGAGAGTTGATGTTCATCTTGGTCACGCCGATGAGCCTCAGAGGGGCCGAGAGGCCGAGCCCCGGGGTGACCGGGCACTCGCACAGGAGCTCCGACAGCTCGTCCTTCTCCTCCAGGCCCACGGTGGCGGCGTTGAGCATGCGGCGATGAAGGCGGCACGTGTGCTCGATCTTCAGCGCGCTGATGTCGTCCCGGAGCCGTACGAGCTGCCTGGCCAGCTGCTGGTCCTGCAGCCGCATGTCTGTCTGCAAAAAAGGCAGGGCGGGGGGGGGGGCCGAGAGGTTCCCTCCCATAAAAGCACGGCTTTCACACATTCAGCCACTCGTTCCCACAAACATCTTGCGCGCACCGGCTCACATAGTCTTTATCGTGTGGCAGAATCCCAATGGAAAACTTCACAGTGGGATCCCCACAAACAAACTTCTCGTCTTTGTTCGCCCCCCCCCTCCCCCACGTCTGTGCCTCTGCGGAGCTACCGCGGGCCTCTGAAGTCTTTGTGCAACATGTTTGCAGCCCCATAAGTGCGTCTTTGTGTTCCGGGCCCGGGCCTGTGAGCCACGGCTGAATGTGCGGAGTAATTGAGCAGAGTAAAAAATGATTACACTGGCAGAAACTCTGTGTCCTCCTATTGTCTGAGTCATAATCTATCACACCGCCTGACACGAACGGGATTCGTCCGGCCAGCAATCACAAAGCGTGATCTTTGGCAAATTCTAATTGGCTAAGTAGCATTAGGTTTCGTTTTTTAATCTCAAGTGCTGTTTTTTTCCAAAAACAAAACCTAAGGAGGTATTTAGGACAACTGATGAGAGACCAGTACTCACCAGCTCTCTTCTGAGCCAAATAAGAGCTTCATCGATGTTTTCAAACCCCTTCAGCTCTCTTGAGGGCAACTTCCGTGGAATGTCGTCAGAGTTCGCCACTTCAGTCCCTTTAGGCTCAAAACGGATGGGGCATTTACCTGTTCCTGCCTCGTCCAACTTTTCTACCTCCAGCTGGGCTTTCCACTCTACGTAAGAAGGCCTCCGGGTCTCCAGTCTTAATTTCTCCGTCAAAGCCTTCAGTGTCATGAGATGGTCATCTCTGGGAGTATCTACACCTTCCTCCGGCCCACTGGATCTGTTGGCTACAGTCTGTGGAGCTGACGCTGTCTCCATCATCAGTGTGCTAAATGCAAAAAGGCAGAAAACTGTCAAATGAGAGGTAAAAAAGAAAAAGAAAAACATTTCCTGAGCGTCAATGACTTCGTTTATTGTTGTTTTTAGTTTTTTAAGCTGCCGGGTTTGTAAGTAATCTGTTGAATAAATCTTTTGAACTACCACCAACAGTTATTTTTTGCAAAGAAGAGACTATGCCAATGTGTTACTCTGCAGAGAGACGAAACCTCAGGTTGGACATGGCAATATCCTACAAAAACAAGCATCTGCGCACATTTTTCTCATGTCTTTAAACTAATTTAGACGGAGCACATGGCCTCTCAGATTCCACATAATTATGGCACAACACATGGGGGAACGCATCTCCAGGACTTTCATTCAACAGAAACAAACTGTTTCCTAAGCAACCACACAAACTTTCTAAAAAAGGATCAGTAGTTTTCCACATCGTGGTTTATTGCCTAAACCACCCTAAAGAAGTCACAAGCCACTGGAGCAATACGGCCAGCAGGCTGACAGAAACATTAACGTCCGAGGTAACATAATTAATGGTGTTCCTGAGACTATTTCAATGGAAGACTATGGGCACATGTATGCAGTGGGGGCTGAAGCATGGTTTTAACCAAGTAAATGCATTAATATAACGCTGGTATTCCATTCCTAATATAACCTCACATCAGAAGCGGTTGGAACAAGTCTAAAAAATGAAAACCCCAAGATGATCAAATGAATTCCCACTTTTATTTGATTGCAGATGGTAAGAATGAAATACATTACGTGTATTGCCCCATTATCTTATTTTCATTCATCAAGGTATGTCCAGTGCTGCCATTAAAATACTTACCAGTATGTAGGGACATGGGGGAAATTATGGACCGACAATAGAAGAAAAAACAACAACAAAACAAATAAAGAAATAATAAAATCATTTTTCAAAGAAATGTAAAGAAGCCCATCCTAAATATGATTTGTTATGTAACCCTCTCAGACATTTATAAAGGATTTTTGATCCTCAAGGGTAGATTGGGAATGATTGGCTCCGTCCACAGTGCATGAAATCCTTAAACAAATGATTCAAAGAATTTGGATGATTTTTGGAGCATAAAGTTCAAAGGCGGCAGACGTGGTGGACGCATGACACGATCAATATTCAGTATTCAGATCTGGTTTTGGAGAAATGGACTCCATGTGCACCAGATTAAAGATAAAAAAGGACCTTTCAAACTGTCCAGAACACAGCATCTGTGACTGTATGGGTTAGGCAACAGTTATTTACTCATGTGATTTAAGAGCTGCTGCTTCAAAATCAGCCATTTTCCTGGGATCTACAATTCACAAGGACAAATCTGAAAACCTTAAAATCCATGCCTGTGGAAGAGGAGGCTGCAGGCACTGAGCTTGCATGGCCTAGCCTCCATCTGGAATCAGAAACTGAGGAGATACACGGACTCATTTAGTCATTCATTTACTTTTAAAATGACCCAGAGGAACCGCTGCCTAATTGATGTAACATCTCAATCCAAGTTCCGATAAGTATGTCCACTACAAAAAACTACTAAGGTTTAAAATCCCCGTTTAATGATGCTGCAAAAGTCAAAGGGCAAGAGCTGACTTACTGCCGCATGTCCGGTTACGGAGGGGATTGTGCTCAGTTGTTCCATAATGGGCACAGCAGGCCAGCCGTGAAGTCACTGCCCCAGTATCTAATGATCAACTTGGCCATTCAGCAAGGTAAAATAAACCTCCGCCTGTGCAAAGTAGCCGACCGTCCAGCAGTGGATCTGCTCTTATTCTTTACAGGAATCAATGCGTCTCCTGAGACCGTGCTGTTACAGGAGAGCATCGTAGCAGGAAGTATGGATTTCTAAAAGATCTGAGGCAACACGGACAAGCTCATTTAGGTTATGAATATGAAATATTGTATGATTAAATGGTGGGGATGCCAGAACTTGGTCTGGCTGAGCAGCATAGAGTGACTGCCCCCCCTATGTGGAGCAGATCATCATGTTTGCATAACAAACCCACCTGTAGACTTGAATCAAGCCTCAGTGCTTTTCTCCTCCAATATCTAACCTATCCTGCCTGTGGGGCATTTGGAGATTTTTTAAAATCTTAGTAATGATGGATAATCATGAGAATGTAGGAATTATCGAAAGAAATCTTCATCAAGCTGCTCCTAATGTTTAAGTAGCCTACAGCAGATTGAAAAGTGGCACAGGACGTAAAAACGAACTATTTGTTCCAGTGTGCCATTTTTAGTGTACACAGTATATACCAACAGGTACTCTAAGCTGTTTAAAGGAGCTCGAAATAAAAATTCTAACTTACTCCACCTATAATAAGAATATTCTTATGCCATCTTTTGGAACGCAGCTGGATCGACATTAAAATACAGAATAAGTGGACTAAACCAGTGCAAAGGTTTCATATGTTGGTTAAATGTCAGCTTTATCAATAATTAATTTTGTGAAATACTAAAAAAAGTATGCAACATAAATCTCCAAAAATTGTAATCAATCCCTACATTACTGTCAGACTTCTCATAAAGTATGTTCCACACATCTTTCAATCTTTTTTTACATATTGTATTATTTTAAAAGCCAAATGTCAGATCACAAAGTCGTCTCAAAGTGAACGTTTTCCCTTTTTACGACACATCCGAGGGGATAGTGTTACCGGAAAACGACGTAAAGGGACGTTTACCTTGACGGAGTTCCCCAGCAGCAGCAGCAGCAGCAGTCCACCTTGCCATCGTTAGAGCTGACCACATCGCTGCTGAGACCGCTGCCCCCCCCACACCCTCACTCCCTCCTCTCTCTATGAGAGGTCCATTGGTTTCTGAACACAGCGCTGCCGGAGGGGGGGGGGGCGGGGCCATTACGTCACGTTCTGGTTGCCCGGAGACGCCTCAGGGATTCAAAATCAGGCTTATCCGGTGTGTGGTAATCAAACCAAACAACGGCCTCACAACACCTTACAAATATTGATTTTAATAGAACAAAATTCACAAAAAAAAAAACATACCGACACATAGGGGTCCTACCACCACCTAAGCCTTAAACACAGACTAATGTGGAGAAGAGCTGAGACATGTCAGCGTTCCATGGTCCTGTGTGTGTGTGTGTGTGTGTGTGTGTGTGTGTGTGAGAGGGGGGGCGTCAGCTGATGGTCGAAATCAGTTGAAGGACTTACACTTTGAAAAACAGACAGAATAATTAAATACCGGAAGGGGATTTCTGTTTATGCGTGTGTGCTGTACAACATCCTCACAATTCTGAAATTTGCTGAAGTATTAGGTGTGTCACATCATGAACCTCTCCCCATAGGAATGCACTGTAAAACCGAAGGCCGCAAAAGTTCAAATGATATTGAAACTGTCATATTTAAAAGCAGGAGCTCAGGTAGTTGATAATTGAATGTCTTCAGACCTGTTTAAGAGTTGAATGATGTTTCTAGCTGAAAATATGCCAAAGTAGTTTGACACTGAAAGGGGTCAAAGTTTTTGAAAGATTTGAAAGATTCTCCATTCATTTCAAGATGGCTAAATACAAAAAACAAAACAAAAACTCTCAAAAAGTTCAATATTGGAAAAAAGTTTAAGATATATACACCAAAAGACATTGCAAAATTGTCCTGAACAAGGTGAACGTTTTCATAAATAACTTGTTGAAATCACTCAAAGCGTTTGGAACGAGTTATACATCTAAAAATGTGCAGGAAAAAAAAGTTACACTTTCCTGAGAGTGCTGTACAGTATCTCATCATAATATGTAGATAAAGACAAACAGGAAAACATTAGTAAGAATAAATAGGTATAGGTATAAAAGTGAAACTGAGGGTTTGTAGTGCAGATTGTCATTGCGATCATGGTGCTACCAGCTGGAAACAGTGCAGAAGAGGTCCATAGAATGGGGACATTTGCTTTGACACAGGAACCTGAATGTGCTGTAAAATATAAAACCCATTTTACAAAATAATATACATTACTCCAGCACTCAACACACACTGATTGTCTAACCTCTTTGTATTTTTGTGGCATTTTCTCTTAAAAACCTAAACCTTAAAAAGACTTAAGATCATTACTTCCAAACAAAGAGCCTTAAAAACAAAAACATAGATTTACAACTCACAAAGAACAGTAACGACAAAGTTTACAAAACACTTCAAAGTGCTCAAGTGTACAAGGACAATGCCACGTTTTTAATAATTCAACTAGTGTGATATCCTGCATGAGGCTCAGATATGCAGAGCCAGGTTGGTTTTATAGTGCGAGCTCTTCTATGTCATCATCAAATGAGGTGATGGCCCTGACGGCAGGCCTGCTGTCTGCAACCTGTAAGGTGTTAACAGCGGAGGCTGGAGGAGTTGAAGACCCTGAGCTGAAGCTAAGCAGTCCTTCCCGTCTCGAGCGCACTCCATTGGGGGTCGGTGGACGACCAAGTACTTCCGTTTTATTGGAAACACTCATATTGTCCCCAGCAAGTATGGCCTGGGGACCAAATAGTTGCTGTAAGAGGTTTGACTTCTTGTCCTTCTTGTCCGTTTGTTTTTCTTCCTTGTCCTTATCTGCAGCCACACCTCTGAAATTAAAAATTCCTATGGCCTCTAATGGGGAGTCCCTGTCCTCTTTGGGCGGAGGTGGAGGGAAGCCAGAGGACGCTCGAAAAACCGAGTGCCCAAATGAAGGTGCATAGCCTCCAAACGCCAAATCCTCGCTGGAGGTTTGGGAACGCAGATTTCTTCTACCCATTCCTGCTGTGATAGCTCCACTCTCTGTGCCTGACCTCCTCCTTCCATTCTCTCCGCTTCCAGCGGGCAAAGTACTCGTCTCAGCTGATTCTGTGAGGCTGAAAATGGAAGAATTCTTTCTCTGCTCTGGCGGATGTGGAGAAAAATGATTACTGGTACTCTTATTGGGCTCAGAGGGGCTTGGGTCAATAAACATGGAGTCCTGCGCTCCCTGGTTTTGACGGTCTATTTCACGCATCTTAGCCAGCAGCTGCTCTTTCTTGCGACGTGCTTCCTCTGCTGCTTGCTGATGGGACTGAAGTTCCTGGTTCCACCTGGGGACCTCCTCCTGGACATGACTATGCTTCCAGTAGGTCTCTTCCTCCTTCTGACTGAAGAGGGAACTTGTCCTCTTTCTTTCTTCCTCTTCATCCTTTTCCATCTCCCTGCCTTTGAACATAATGCAGTGGATTCAAGAACAAGTCATAACTGCCACTCCATTTACTTTCTACATATTCTGCAAATTCAGAAGTAATTTATTAACATTCTCTACTTGTCCTTACCATCTCTGAATCGATTTGCCTTCCTTTCTAACACATCTGGCTCCTTGCTATGTTTCTGCACCATCTCCAGCTCTCTCTCCTTCACCAACTCCTTCTCCCCTGCTTTTTCTTTCTCCCGCTTCTGTTTTTCAGAGTCATTCTCTGGCTCTCCAGGTCTGTCCATTTTATCAAGTTCCTGTTGGCAGCAATAGAGGAAAGACGATCAAGAACTGAGTGACAACAAAGAAAAATAGACCATGGGGTGCAGGTGGGGGAGGAAGATAATGCGTAGAGATTTCACCTTAAGAGATAAGTATTCATCAGGAGCCTGTTCGCTGTCTCCGTCAGCGTCGCTGATGGCAGGGGGCGGCGTGGGGAAGTCCAGACTGACCGCTCTGTCCTCAGTCTGTACGGCCTTTGTGCTGTTCCTGCTGGTGACTTTGTAAAACAAGGACACCATATTATTTACTTTTGTTGACCCCCCTCCCCTAATATGAACAACCAACCTTATCCATCAACACACTCCATGTTCAACTGTAACATCCCACCTTTCCGTTTTGTGTTTGTGCCATTTTCAGTCTCTTTTCTTAATGATGGTTTTACTATGCGGTTGGCATATATATTTCTCACATCAAGTTCCCTTTCTTTTTCCTGATCAAAAAAAAAAAAGCATCTCATAATACAACTATTTGCTTTTACACACAATGGTAAGCAGTTTATGGTTTGAGTATGTTTCCATTTTTCACCTTGAGCCTGCTGGTCAGCCGGTCCAGCTCCTCCTGCAGAGCCCTAATCTCTTCCTGGGCACTGATGGTCTTCTTCTTCTCTGCAACCAACTGTCGCTGATAACTGCTGCTGGTCAGCTCCACGCTCCGCTCCAGTTCCTTCAAGCACAAAGGTGCAAATACGATCGTTATAAGGTAATGATATTGATTATAAACAGAAATCTTATTTTCAGATAGGAAACCAGAAAAAAACATGTTTACCTTAATTTTACGCTCGGCATCCTGGGCTCGTGTTTTCTCTTCCTCTAAGCTACGGTTTAGCTCATCTCTGGTGCCCAATTCTCGCTGGTTGACCAGCTTCTTCAGACGTGTAATGGTCAGCCGGCTCTTTTGTAGTTGCTCCTCGCTGTCTTTGAATCGCCGCTCAGCGGCCCGCTCTTGCTCTTGTGAGCGCCTGAGCCTCTCGCGCAGCACATGGGTCTCATTCGAGTGCCGTGAGAGTAGCTGGGAAATCTCGCTCTCCGTGTCATCGTAACGCTGCAGGGCTTTCTCTTGACGCACCTGAAGCTGCAGCACAAGAAAGATGTTTTTAACTTTGACCAAGTGTCGAGAGTCACACAGAGAATATGTTAGAATGCTATTCCTTAATCAGCATCCTTAGCTTACTATGAAATATATACATTTTAAGTCATGACTAAATCAAAGAGTGTTACACATACTTGTCTGAGAATTTGATTTTCCCTTTGTATTTCCCGGTTGCGATATTGCAGTTCAGAAAGCGCATTGCGCAACTCATTGATCTTTAGGAGGCGTGCAGACAGCATACGCTTGGTAACCAGGTCCAGGTCTTTAGGCGGGGTGGACTCTTTGCTTTGTGACCGCACACCTCTGCGATGCTGCTGGGTCAAAGACAGGTTGCCTAGTCGCTGTGAGTGAGACGCACCCCAGCGGCCCGCACCACCTGCATGGAAGCAAAACACACATTGTTCTAAGACATGAAAACGGTAATGTAACATTTACGGTAACCATTACAAGACACCAAAATCCCTCAGCACTAACAAGTAGCGTTGAAGGATGAACATGGACCTCCAGCTAGAGTAATCTTACAAATAATTGGAACAAAAAGTACTCTGAGACGTCTTTCTTTTATATAGACGATCTTGTCAAAAGTGGCCTCACACTGCCATCACCTGGACACTTTAGTGATTTAAAGTCAGTTTTAAGTTGATCTAATTAGTCTATAAATGCTCAGTCAAATCTTAACTTTACATACCGGTTTTGTGGAGAAAGCTTCTGGAGGCCCGCTTTGTCCGCACCCCTCGTTGTGGGGTGAGAGATGGGGTCCGAGACCGGGAGAATGAGGAAAGTGAGCGTTCAGAAGGTGTTGCTTGCTCATAGTCTTCAGAGTAAAATGAACCATCACTTCTCCGTCCCTCTCCATCTGATATCCGGTCGCGATCCGAATCTGAACACCGCGTTTGTGTTTTCGATCTGCTCTCAACACGGCCTTCTTTCCCCTGGATCTTGTTTTTTTTGTGCTTCTGTACAGAGGATGCTCGAGAATCTTTCTTTGTACTCCTCAGGGAATGGCGACTTGAGTCCAGGTTGTCTTCACGTAGGTCAGGGGTTTTTTCATTTTCCATGCTGTCCCTTTGAGAATGTGAACTAAATTAATTTAAAAAAGGGAGAAACAATGATTTTTGAATTACTGATGAGCAGAATAAAGCCTCAACGCAACATTAAAAATAATCTAATTGACGATTTTGAGCAGGGCAAAACAATAATTAGAATGTGGGCAATCTGGTTTCTCTGGGGCTTTGTGTGTCTTGGTCACTAAGCAACAACAATCATGAGGATGTGTATGGCACCACAGTTTTTCACCACTGCCCTCACTAAAAATCGTCTCTATAATGTCCAAATGTGTGTTTATGTGTACTATGCAACTGCTGTCAACTGAAATATTAACTGTGAAAGACATTTATTGAACGAAATGTCTTATTTCATAAACCATGCTAAGAACATTGTAATTTAATGAGTATGTATTGAAGGCAACTTTGGTACTCAGAGTAACACCATACCACTATATATGGCGAAAGCTCACATTGTACACCATAGCTCTATAATCTAATCAAATGCCCGCCTTCTTGCACTCACTTTGAACAACAATGTTATTTCAAAAGTGAAAAAACAAATCATTGATTATGTAAATCACTGTAAGACTGGTCGAAACATATTTACAGTAATCAACATCTACTTTCTCAACTTATAACTAAATGCCATTTTAAGAAAAAATATTCTGAAATAATGATTACATCTTACACTCACCCCATAGATCACATCAATATCACCTCTGCTCTCTTCATAGTGTCATTTTCTCCTCATGATATGGAAGCATTATGGGTCTGACACCACATGATGACACTCCACATGGCACATACGTATGTTTGCATATACATATAAATATATATATATATAGAAAATTACTTATTTCGAATCTGTGCTTGCTTTGTGAAAACAGACAATAACAAAGTGTGTTGTAGTTTAGCGGTCCAGCAGTAGTGGACTCTCGTTCTTACTCTTTTATGAAACAAACTGATTGGATTTAAGTAGGCCGTGTGCTGCGGACAGGTGCTATGTTGTTGTTAGACTGGTCGCCGAGGAGCCTGAACAAGGCGTCGATATTTAAGAGGGACATCTGCAACTACACCTAATATACTTTGTTAAACGCACAATAATAATAGCGCAAAGGACACGCTTGAGTTTTACAACATTAACAAGCTCTCTTGAGAGATAATGGTACGGGTAAAGCGAGAGCTAAATAAAATACTAGCATGGCAAGAAAAACAACATTCAACAGGTGAACTTTAAACGCTACCGTTGGGAATCTGTGAGCACAAACCTGTCCGTTTCATAGCTTCTACAAAACATGACCCAAATATTAAAAACACTCACCAGCTTCTCCCAGACTACTGCTATTGCTAGCTTCATAGCTTAAATGACTAATAAGCTAGCTTGAACTTTAGCTGTCTTTGAATATAAAAAGAACAAACCGCTCAACGGTTTTGGAAGTAAACTGTTGCAGTTACCGTGCACGTACGCACCGTCCTGTAACTATCCGTCCCCAAAAGGGACACCATGCCTCTATAAAGTAACGCCGTTTGTATCAGTGCACGCCTTAGGTTTTAGTCCTGTGAAGCCCCTGACGCCCTACCATGACAACCGCAGCACCTCCATGCAATAACACAACAACGCCACTACGGTGGCGCTAAAGTAGGGAGCAATTGTCTGAAGTGACCAGTGATAGATTTAAGCAGCATAAAGCACAACACTTAGGTAATAAACAGATAAATCAAAAAGTATTTTGGTCGCAATCGATTTAAAAGTGATTCTGCAATCTGACAAACACTTGGTTTAAACCGTATGTTTGGGTTAGGGGTTATTTTTCAATTCTATATAGCCTATCATAGAAATGAAATTCCCCATGCAGTGATGAGCTAAGCAAAAACGACATTGCTGCCTAGAATTTACGTCCAGCCTCGTTTCACCTCCAAATGAGCAATTTCCAAAAAGTAAGTTCTCACTTATTATAAGTAACAAAACAGACTATTCTTGCAGTAATAAAAGAAAGATTTCAAGTAATATGAATTTAAACACAATCAAATTTCTTAATGACATATTGACGCACAATAAGATAAGATTCCACGCTGTAGTTAATCTTAAAATTGGTCTTTGGTTTTAAAAAAAAAGGACATAATTATGCAGAAAAACGAAGGGGAAAAGGTATCATGTTTGCATCGAGAGGTGCATATCGTCGTTTATTTTGAAAGTTATCCCGGAAGTGTTTGTTGCACAGTGCTCACTGAGCGTCGTTTGTGGTGTCACTCAACGCGAGCGCACGCTGTTTTATTATCATGGGTCAGAATATGTGTTGGAACAACAAATAAGCGCTCATGTAATGTTTTATTCGTAACTCCCAGCTATTTTTGGCGCTGTAAACGAATTTGGTAAACTTAAAACAATTTGACAGCAATCTGATGTTAATTTGGGATTAAAATGGTCATCAAGGTTTACGTCGCCTCATCAAGTGGCTCGATAGCGGTGAGTGTTTGCAAAGGATTCCTAAAACTTGTCAGCGATTGTTTTAAGATGCAGGCATAAAAACATTCTCTTTAAATGTATAAGTCTTAGTAATCTTTTATCAGCTGAGCGTAATTATGTAATCAATCTTCGCGCGTGTTCGCTCTTCCAAGTCAGACTTGTATTTAACCGTGAAATACAGCATCATTCAGACAGGTGTCTTGGCGACCAGGGTAAACTGGATTTATTGTTTTCATTTTACTCATTTTACTTGTGAGTAGTGGTAGGAGCTGTACACATGCCATGTTTACTTATTTTATTTTTTTAATTGCTTTATTCTGGAGATATAAAATCAAGTCATGATGGTCCACCTGCACCGCTTCAGAATGTTTACATATTAGCATGGACTCTTAATGATTTTCTAAATGTGTCCTTAAAAAGAGAATATAACTAATTTTTTTCTCTCTTATATAAGAAAGACTGTTGGGTTAGACTGGGTGATTGACAGAGAATCACATTGAATAAATATCTAACTGGGGTTGTCTTATAAAAAAAAAAGAGGGGAGTATTTGTATATAAAGCTTTTGGGTTCTGCTTTAGGAGCATAATCAAGAGTTCAGAGAAGTGTTAACCTCAGGGAAGTTTCAGTTTTTATCTATTTTTCTTTTATATTTTGGACTTACCTTATTATTATATGTTAAATGTATCAGATATGTTCATTTCAAGTTGGTGAGGGGCTCCTATGAATAATTGCAATATATGCTACAAATGCACAACTGAGCTTTTAAAATATAAAAAGAAGTATACATTATAGTCTGATTCAACATAATTTGTCTCCCATTTCTTTAACTTTTAGCATGTCATTACAGAAGTCTGTATTAAAATGGATGGTGGAAATAACTGCGAGTTGAAACTTCTACCCTGCTGCTGTCTTTTGGCAAGCGAATGATACATGCCTTAGAAAGTCCAGCTGATATAATGTGAGCACAAATTCAAACAACTCTCCTGCATGAAGTTTTAAAGAATTAGGTAATGGTACAAATGAGTAATACATTTATTTTATCATGCTTCGTTTCTAGAAAAGGTCTTCTACAATCTGTGACTGTTTACAAAGAAGTTATTTTTAAGCCTATGACACATTAATTCAAAACACACAGACTCTCCCTTACACTCACCCGAACACACACAAAGCGCTGTAATGTACGCTTGAATAAGTCCACCATTTGGGTCAGTTATGTGAGTGTAGAGCTCATGTGAATATGATTATCTCTGAACGATTCAGAATTAAGTTACAAGTGAATTGAGTAAAGAGAAAAGGTGAGTGTGTTCTTCAGATTGAGACGTGTGAGCGTAATATGTCTGGTGACACTAAAATGGAGAAAACTGGAACTGGTCAAGGGATATCATCTAGAACGCATACTCATTTAAATCCAGTGTCCAATATTTTCAATAAAAACAAATCAAATAAAAAGTATAATAGAAGGATGCATGTACGGCCTCATAAAATCATAAGCAGTTTAACATCCGCAGGTTAGTGGGTCGGAAATAATCAGCACAGAATAGACGGGATGCAAATGAGGTTATGCCCGACTCTTCATTGAATAGATGTGTCATGAATGACAGTTTTATAGGCACAGCGACTAACAATGTCAGTACAGTCCAGCATCATACATTGTTAAATAAATTAGTTTAAAGTAACTCACAGCTTTCATAAGTATTTTATTGTCATGGACACTTTTATTACACTTTTATCTTTTATTATCACTATCATAATTGTAATTTCTTTTGCTGATTTTAAAGTTGTAAGCCATTTTTTTTTGTCATTGAGAATAGGAATTATGTGGTGGTTTCCCTCCAAAAGACCTCACAATCCTCTTTCTGTAAACAAGAGGGGAGGATTAGTTATCTTATCAAGAAACTAATCCCCCAAAATGGAAAGTCCACTTACAGTTTGAGTTCGGTTGTGAGCATGTCAAACCCTCTAAATCGTAAGTTATCCATCTCCCTGCCACACTGACCCTCACTCAAACTCACCAGGAGCACCTCGTTCATTCATTATTTAGAGCCATGCAGCATGCCTTTCACCTTGGAGGACAATCACATCATTCATTGTTTGCTGTTCTCTGTGGCATAAATTGTAGTTGGCTAACAGTCAATCCATATGGAATATTTAACCTTTGAACGCCACAAAATGATCATGAAGACAACGCCTGTTGTTCCAAATGTGGTTTACCTTCCAAATGAAGTATGAGTCCAAATGACATAGTTCTATTATGGCCGTACAAAGAGAAGCTTATAGCTTTTAGACAACAGGAACTGTCCAGAACAATTCCTGTCTTAAAGCTGCAACAATAGCATCATTGTTGCTCTGAGTTCATAAAGTAATGTGCCCATATGCTATTTCTTTTACCAATGCATCAAATACAGAATAGCCCATATATTAATTCAGTATTCACATTACACACCCATTGTTGCTCAGAAGTTAAATTTGGTATTTCTGTGACTGAACTCAGTGCAATAACAAAGCATGCTTATGTGGTGCTTGAAGATGTCGGTCCGGCTTTCTTTGAAACTTTGAATATAAACAGTTTACAGATAACCAAAATCATAGTGAGGAAATCTGCAGACACAGAACAGTGCAGGTTTAAGAGTTGTGGTCTGTATCCCTGTCTCTAATGGGTGCTCACGGCCCATTGAGTGGATTTTTTGTTCTTTCTAAATTTGTCCTCTTGTGTTTGTTTCCCACAAATTTCACAAACATAGTCATGTAGCCTTGGTCACATACTAAATCCCAGAGGTATGCTCTGTAGGGAGTTGCTACATCCATCCCAGATCACAGTTGGCAAAGTTACTTCTATTCTGTGCAGAATGAGGTACTCTCTTTTATTTGGTGTCATCTGGTCAGTAAATGTCTTCATCAGTAAGAAGAGCACCTTTACAATCCATCACTGAACCATCTTTTTTTCGATAGATAAGAACATAGTGACGATAGTATCTTACTACTGCTTCTCCTGTAGTAATGTTACCATAGTGATATAATGTAAGCTTCATCGTTATTACAAGTGTGTCAGCTTTGAGATTTCAAACTTAAGCTCCTCCACTAACCAGTAATCCTTCTTCAAGACCCTGTTGCCAGTTGAGTCTGTGTGAGTGAGGTGGCCGATTTTCGAGTGTAAGTGTTTGTGTGACCGGGAGAGTAAGTCCCTCTTGGTCTGATGGGTGTCACTTTACTGTTGGTCATTACAGGAGTTAGTTACAGCAATATACACACATTCCAGCCTCTTGCTCCATATCCATGCATATAGAGGAAGTACTGGGTAACACCATGGTTGAAATGTTAAATATGTTTTTTTTTCTTAGTTTCATCCTCCTTGATTTGTTTATTTTTACCTGTCCAGGTAAAGAAGCACCAGCAGGCTGTGGTGGGTTTCCTGGAGGCCAATCGAATCAGTTTCCAAGAAGTAGACATCACAATGCTGGAGGAGCAGAGGCTCTGGATGTACCGCAACATACCCAAGGATAAGTTACCAGAGCGGGGCAACCCACTGCCTCCACAAATCTTCAACGAGGATCATTATTGTGGTGTATGATGGATATCAGTTAATCTTTTTTTCTAATTACCAGCTTGTGATTAGGTAGCAAAAACACAAATTTGAATACATAGTTTAAATCAACGTGCATATATTTCTTTCTTTTGTTATTCTTTTTCTTCTAGTTCGTTCTACATTCATGAACAGTATCGATCACTTTTTTTCATTTAGTTGCTAAAAATCTGTTAAATCTTTCACAGATAACTCAAAGGGTACATGGTTCAGCAAAATGTTACAAACATGAAATTTAAGAAAGGAGATCACCTGCAAGATATCCAAAACTGGTATGTGAGCTTATACTGAGTTTGAGTTTAAGATATGATCTGATCTCTTGCATCTGATCTCTTGCATCAAATAAATACAAACATTTTTAAAGTATAACATCTGTTTGATTAAATAATTCTTTTAAAAAGGACAGGAGATGTTTTTATGTTTAATAAGAGAGTTTTTTTTTTTAATGGAAGTCTTCTAGGGCCTAGAGAGTATAAGTGGTATTGCACTTTAAGACACTTTCCCATTGATTTCACATCTATGATTAAATAAGTTCTATACCCTCTGAGAGATATGGAGCTGCAAAGCACTGTCAGTCCTCACCTGCACCATATTAACCCACAATGCAACTTTTGAAGTGATGGTACTATTACGATAAATATGTTGTGACAAAACAGTACAAACAGTACAGAGGCACATATTTCTTTCAGGGTAACTTTTTACATGCTTGGATAATTGTGGGATATCCTATCCATTTAGCGGGCGGCACAGTGGTGTGGTGGTTAGCACTTTCGCCTCCCAGCAAGAGGGTTCTGGGTTCGAATCCCGGGGGAACCAGGACCTTTCTGGGTGGAGTTTGCATGTTCTCCCTGTGTCTGCGTGGGTTCTCTCCGGGTTCTCCGGCTTCCTCCCACAGTCCAAAAACCTGCATGTTAGGCTGATTGGAGATTGGGGAAATTGCCCTTAGGAGTGAATGTGAGTGGTTGTTTGTCCTTGTATGTCCTGTGTGTGGCCCTGCGATGGACTGGCGGACTGTCCAGGGTGTACCCTGCCTCTCGCCCGTTGACCACTGGGATAGGCTCCAGTTCCCCCCGCGACCCCATGAGGGAATAAGCGGTATTGATAATGGATGGATGGATGGGTCCTATCCATTTAATATACATAATTATAAAGCATCCCAAGGTTAAGGTACCTCTGATAGTGAATAAGTTGGAGCAGCTAGAGCTCGCCAGTTTTTATTCTCGTCTGAGACTGCACGCTACACTCTAATCCTATCGTAATCCAGTTTCACGGATGGGGCAGATTATGTGTTCTGCCTGCCGTGCCATCACTCTCACTGGTTAAGGTAATCCAACATTACCCTGAAATGTTGTGTTCAGAAAATTATGTTAAAAGCAGCCCTGCGCTGTGAAGGTTCACAAGCATCTCAGAAATGTCCTGTGATTACATTACACCCAACGTCCTTATTTTTTTCCACCCAGGACTATGAAGCCTTCTTCCAGTCAAAGGAGAACAACACTGTGTTTGTGTTCCTTGGGCTAAGTTCCCAACCCTCTCAGAAAGTAAGTAAATATGTATACACACTGAAAAACACAGCTCTCTGTGGCGTACTGTCAATATGAAACAGCCACTGTGGTTTGACATCAGCAGCCTCAGACAGTAAACACTGCACTTGGTTAAAAGGGTTGACTATTTGAAAAACTGAATGCTTATAGCTGGCCGTGCTCTTAATGTGCAGAAGTTAAGTAAATTAGATGAACAAAAGTATGTTGCAAGGGGTTAGCTTCTCAGATTTTTTTTTTTTTTGTGGACTTGTTTTTTGCACAAAATTAGCAAAAGGAGTACAATAAAGTTTTGAATATTAATGGTATTTTTCTCATCAGTACTGATTGGTTTTGATATTTGATTGTGATTAAAAAAATGGTGGCAACATTCAATCACTCGGTTGTTGACTCTGTGTGGTTAGGCTCAGAAGGCTGCCGGGAAACCAGCTGATTTCTCACTATAATAGTTCTATTTCATAGCAGTTTTGATTACTTGGCGGGCGAATGACTTCAATGGTAGTTGCTAATCTGTACTTCTGTCAGAAATATTTTTGCTGCTTAGATAACTTAGTATTTAAGGTGAGTGAGAACAATGTGGAATATCGAGCGAAATGTTTACTGATATTCCTCTTTCTTGTGCTTTTATGTGTCCAGGATTCAGGTTCCTAAATCGAACAGCTGCTTGGTGTCCTATGAAAACCATCACCTGCAACCATTTGCATATTGTCCCGCATTGCATCGTCTTTTTCCTCATGATTTAAAAAAATTAATAAAACATTTTTACAGCGCCAGCTTTTGCCAAACACTTGCCATAATAAGATGTGTGTGACTGCAGCCGCACATACAGCAGAAGAGGAAACGACAACGGTTGAATACGATTTTTGTTTTCAGTGCTCGGCACAATGTGACATCAAACACTGTTGAAATTTAATTCAAGCAAGAGGAACATGTGGCAGCTTTCATATCACTAATCTTTGGACAAACAAAATTCCAGGAAACAGAGGAGGAAATGGTCAGCCGCAGCAGAGCAGCACATGTGTGTGTGGCATCTGTGATTGTTTTCCATTAGCTGGCTGCTGTTAATGAAGGCTGAGTTAAGAGAGGGGACCACAAAGAAACAAGCCAAGTCATTTCTATTCAGTTTGACTATATGTACGTATGAATTCCAATGTTAAATGTCTGAAAACACTTTAAGACTAAAGGATTAAGATGACCATATGTTGCAACATTTGGTCAAATTTGTCCAATGAGGCTCACTCTGCTTTGATACATTTTCACTGCCATACTGCTGTAATGAAAAGGGATGCTGCATGTTGTTTTATTCTATATATTTGCTACACATTCCATTAAATAGATAATATTTGCTAAACCCTTGTTTGTTCTTCAAAATCCTCTCCTTTTTTCCATGACACTGCAAACTGTTTAGATCTCCTGATGTTGATTATACCTTGATGGCCCATTTTAATCCATGGATAATTGCAGATTTTAGGCTCCAATCAGCACAGTGGATGGACCCGCAATATTCTTTTCTAGTAGCATTTCTGTATTTCTGGTGAGAATTATTTAGCTTATCTCTGAAATAAGATGCTGTATATCACAATTGGGCAACAAATATGTATCATATTTGATCTTTTTGGTGGGATTTGTGGATGACATGATCACCAGGTTTATCCTCTGGTAAACATTAGCTCTGGTGAAACAATGGTTATCAGGATTATGAGGAATTGAGCACATGTGATATTGTTGTTCTAATTTCTTTCAAATCTGACTCAGGATTTTAGGCAAAAAGGACCACCGGGAGATAATCAAAAATCAAATAAAAAAAGCTCTGCACTGACAGCCTGTTTCTCTTTTCTCTGCACAGTCAACTCTTAAAATAGACATAGTGCAGACTCTCATCACTGTGCTTTAAAAGGCATTAAATCTTACAGTTTTTTTTCCTGCCTTGCTGACTGCGTTACATGTTTTCTCTCACCTAGCAGCCTCTTGATTCTGCTTTGTTAAATAATCACGGCTGATTAATTCCATCACCTTTCCTCGCCCATTAAATGAGCCATAGATTGGAAGATCAGATGTTCCATCAACACCTAATGCAGCAACATCCCCGGTTCTGTCAAATCATGGAATTATTTTATTTTTATTTTTGGTCGACAAGCCCATTAGACAAGAAGATGACTTTCCCTGTGCCTCTGATATTATCTGTGGCTTTTGTATTTTTCTTTTTCATGTTGTAGTCAGTGACACATTAACATGAGGGTTGATTTTTACAATGTAGATTACAGTATTGCAGTATGTGTCTTTTTTTAATCTTTGCTCAACTTTATTTTTAAAGATCATAAATAATAAATTATTAAAGATCTTGCATATTTCAACACAACAACAAATATGTTATACAATTATTTCATTGTTGAGCTTCAGTATAAAAAAAATGTATTTTTGAGGAAAACTAACTTGCAGCTGGAGATTGAATACATTTAACTAATTTTCAAGAGCTGCTGTGTATGTTGTGTCATGTTTAAATGAGCTCAGTGAATAACACACCATCACTCCACTGACTTTGTAGTACACTAAGTCAGTTATATGTAATGTTTTAAAATAATCCTCCCTTTATTCACTAGTCTCTATCTTAATGTTTGGTTGGTCTCATATCCCAGAAGTAATGCCGCAGTACTTAGGCCCATGTGCAAATAGAAGCTCTGTCAATTCAAAAGGTCACTATGGGTCATTGTCATGGCATTAAACCAAAAGATAAACAAAACGATGATTCTGTTACTGATGTTTGAGCGCACAGCTTACAGTTACTGAAGTGTACCCACATTTAAATGATAATGATGTCATAGAGGACACAGTTTAGATTTTTCAGTATAACTGTGCCTTTCACCTTTTTTGACCTTTGTCCTGTGATTGAGCTGATGAAGCCACGCTGTTGTAACATAATTTCCTTTCAGACAATGACACATAACTAAAAGCCTGTAATGATTAACCAGAACATCAACAGGTGTTTAACCAGATTTCATTCTTCACCATTTGGAAAACTACAGAAGGTCACATGGTTCATCATAACATATATATCTGAAGCTTGTTGTGCCTGTGGCTGTTTACTGTCCACTCACAAATCATCCCAGTATGTTCTGTAAGTGGTCAACACTAACTGATACACAGTCCAAGCCTAGCTGTTCAGCCAGTGTGTTGGGTATGTAACAAAAAAAACCATCAGTCAGAATGATTTGCTAAACTATTAGATACTATTTTAATTTCAGTATGAAGTTCATGGATGGCATTTATCATCTTTTAGTTTGATGTTTACAAGAAGACCCTTTACAAGACCAATCTAAACTTGAGAAAGCAAACGTTGTGAACCATGTAACACAATTTACCAGACTTTTTTAGCCCTTTTGGCACTTTGAGTACATCCTATTTCTTGATCCATCCCGGTGAGCAATGTGTGAACTCTTAAAAGTGTTACCTTTGAATTATAGGTTGAATATAGAAGAGGAACCGTCATGTTAATCGATTTATGGAGAACAAAATCACTGAACATGCATATGTAGGGAAAATGAAGATAGAATGTTCATTGTGAAATTATTTTTTAAAATTGCATGACAAAATGGTCTCGAAGGAGAAGTTTAAGTTGTGGTCATATGATCAAGCAGGGATGTGCAACTGTAACCAGACGCAATCAAAGGAAATTACTGTGTGGAAACAGATGGCCAAACCAGCAGACTCAAAATGCTGAACAGACTAAATAAAAGACAGTTAGGTAACATCATACAGGATATGTTCTCTGTGTTGATGGACAATATGTTCTTGAAATGGTATCAGGTTAAAAAACTAGCATTAACTAAGCATTACTAGCAATATTCTACTATTTTAACCAGCACTCCACACGCATCAGTGTATTCAATTATTTAACGTTATGTTCAAATGTAAGGGCATCTGATGGAGTTTTCACAGTAATCAATTTAGCACGTTCTATACTGATTCACAGATTGACCAGAAAATTTGCTGGAGACTAAAATCTATTTCTTTTCTAAATATACAGTAGCTGAAATTGCTTGTAAAACCCACTACTAATGCGTACAAATAGCACATCGCATCCTCTCAGATATGACATGGAGTGGGAATTAGCTTGAATTAACTTTTCAAGTTTGATTTTTAAAAAGTCTGTAGTTCTGCCAAGAAATTCTGAACACATTCCTTAACATTGCTTAATTCATATCTAGCTGTTCCATAGCCTCTGGGACACTTGTTGTGTCTAATAAAAAATGTGCTTACAAAGGTGCAGCGATGATGTACCAAGATTCATAAGAGGAAATGATTAATACACAGTGGACCTAGAGACAGCGTTACACAATGGCACTTAATAAGATGTGGGACAAGAACTAATTCTGGAAAGCCAAGTGTTTGTGAAAGAGATCGGTTATCAGAGTTCCTGATTTTCTACTAAACAAAGAGTACATCTGCCCTGCTTAAAGGTAAGAAAAGATTTTTCAAAACAAGACAATACTGATCCTCAGTGAAAAACATTGAAATTTTAAATAGGGTACATATTTGCTGTGGTAAAAACATTGTGGTGACATTGTTACACAGTTTCAACATCAAATACTCCGCTTTCGGTGATAACTGCAACTGGATACTTTGGAAGTCAGAGGTCAAGTTTACTTCTTGACATTTGCTGAAATACAATCTAACTTTTATTCTGTTTCTGGACAGATTATTTCTTGTATCCCTCTGCCACCGTTTCTTTCATAATATATGAGCACATATTACGTTTTCTTTGCAACACTAAGTACCATGTGTTTCTGTTGAAAATCCGTTTTTTTTTCCAAGTAGTATTGTAGGTATTGGGTAGAGCGACATCTCAGTCCAGGCTCTGTCTTTAATGATTGATCAAAATGTCAACATGTGTCCAGTTTGCAGTCCAAGTCCAGAGAGTGTTTATTCCTGACATTTACTGGATATGTGCATGGGACATCTTTTTTTCAGACATTTTATCTATGATAACATATCTAATTTCTTGTCTCTTCTCAGTAGCTGACCAAATGATTCTTTTTTGAAAAGGTAAGAGGATGAACACAATCGTATCTTGCGAAAATCAAACCTTCCCAATGCTAAAAGAAACAACTCCTTTCTTTTCCAAATCAGGAATTTTCTTTTATGCTACTTGGAAGAAGCATGACTCTATCAAAAGAGCTGAAGAATTTTTAGGGGAAGTTGAACAACACGTTTTTTCTTATATCATAACTGTACCTCTCAGAATTGAACCTTTCTTGAAGAAAAATGATTATCTCCATTTTTGTGGAAAAACTCCACTTCGTTTTTTTGGTGATGACAGGTGAGTTTAACTTTTCTCTCTTTCATTGACCTTCTGTGGAGTCCTTATTCTCTTTCTCTCCAAAAATAACCATATTGGCTGTAGTCTTAGATTCTAAAGGGAGATATGTGATAATTTGATTTAGGATTTTTTATCATTATGACATCAATTGGGGCCTTCTAAGCATTTTATTCATGATGCATTTGCCACATTTGAGTGCTGTCTTTGGTGTATGAACTGGAGAAATATTTTTTTATTACCGTAGCTTAGTACAAGGATTCTACAGTTTTTTGTTTTTTTTACTTCAGGGCTGCTGAATCTACCGCTGTTTACAGGTTAGTGTGAAAAGTTTAATAAAAAGTCATGCATGTTTATAAGTAATAAAAGAAATGTCAAAGTAACACTACATTTACATCTTGAGCCCTCACATTTCCCCCCAGAATGTAATAAGATCAGGCTGGTCGGGCCTTCGCGCTGCGCTGGCAGGGTGGAGATCTTTCATGAGGACAGCTGGGGAACCGTGTGTGACGATTTCTGGAGCCTCGCCAGCGCTGGCGTGGTGTGTCGCGAGTTAAACTGCGGCACTGTTCAAGAGGCAAAAAAAAATGCTTTCTTTGGACAAGGCAAAGACGAAATTTTTTTGGATGATGTGAAGTGTGTTGGGGATGAGTCTTCCCTTCTGAAGTGCCCACACAAGCCTCTCGGGGTAAATAATTGTGGCCATAGTGAAGATGCTGGGGTCATCTGTTCAGGTGAGTCTGATTTTACTCACTGTGTTTGCTTTGCTGCATGGCAAAGTGCACACACCTGTTGTAAAGTATAAATCCACTTTCAATTGTGTTTAAATATTAGAATACTCCAATGTGAAATTAAAAATTGTAGTAGGTCAACACTTAATTTAAACAGAATATCACTTAAAATTGTCTTAAGGATGACTTAATTCAGGTCAAAGATACCACCAGACTCTGTTGAGTGCATTATTCATTACCTCTGCCTTATTCTGCAGTTCAAAAAGTGCAATTTCACTTTCATAGAGATTACAAATGTTGATGTTTCTCTTTTTCTTTTCATGTTTTAGAGCACATGAAGCTTGTCAATGGAACCAATCGCTGTGATGGCAGGGTGCAAATCTATCACGAAGGCAGCTGGAAACCAGTCTGCAGCACTAACTGGGGCGTTGCAGAAGCTGCTGTGGTGTGCCGTGAGATAAGCTGTGGAACTCCTGTAATCAATCCTACAATAAAGGATTTTGGGCAGTCTCATGGCCTGGCTGGGGTCAAATCCAGTTGTATCGGAAATGAGACCTCTATCTCAACTTGCGAGATCCAAGAGATCAAAGAAAGCTGCCCTGATGCTGTTGTCGTCTGTGCAAGTGAGACACACGTATACTTTTCGGGGATATGAACTAATAAGGTGACATTATCATTTGATTGTTTCCTTAAAAAACAACAACCTCTTTGTCTTTTTTTTCACATTTATAGACAATAAACCAACAAGACTGGTGAATGGGACTAACCAATGTTCTGGTCGAGTAGAGGTGTTCTATGAAGGACAGTGGGGAACAGTTTGCGATGACCGGTGGGGGCTTCAGGAGGCAGCAGTCGTATGCAGGGAGTTGAACTGCGGGAATGCTCTTACAGTGAAGTACAAAGCCTTCTTTGGCAGAGGCCATGATCAGGTTTGGCTGGATGATATTGACTGTACCGGTCATGAGAAGTCCCTTGCTGATTGTCCACATAGAGGTTTTGGAGAGCATGACTGTGACCACAGTGAAGATGCTGGTGTCATATGCTCAGGTAACAGGCGCTTTATTCAATTTAAAGGTTCAAATGTTCAAGTACACTTAGATGTAAACCTTTAAAATCTCTTTTCACTTTCCAGAGTCTGTGAGATTAACTAATGGGACCAGTAGCTGCTCTGGTAGGGTGGAGGTCTTGCATGGTGAAAAATGGGTAAACATTTGCAACAACAACTGGGGCATTAATGAGGCTTCAGTTCTGTGTAAAGAACTCAATTGTGGTCCTCCAAAGAAATCCCAAGACGTCTTGAGTTATGGGAACTCTGCACAGACTGGGTACAATAGCAGATGTCCTAATGATGCCACCTCCATCAAAGAGTGTACACTTGCGGAGCATATCGGGACTTGTGAAATTGTCTCTGCTGCATGTACAGGTAAGATATGTCATACTGATTTACGATCTTAACACAGAGGCAGATTATTACAAGACATCTGTTATCAACAGCTTTCAAGTTTAAGAACCATCATGTTGTAGCCCAAATCTTCACTCTTCTCGGTGCATGGATTAAATCAAATGACATGCAAGACATAGGAAGTAGAGGGGTTTTGTCACTTTATATGCAATAAAATTCCATTGGGACTATTTCTTAAAGAATAAATGTCCATGTTTGACCAAAAATGAGGGCTAATTTATGGGAATGAAGAAAGTGGTATTTGCTGGCCTTTCTGATTTAGCGTTGAAAACTTGTAATCTCAAAACTAGGTTGTGACCAGTGGCGGCTGGTGAAAAAAGTCTTGGTGGGGCTTGTGTGCCAATAGATTTCCCTGCCTAACCCAGTACAAGCATTCAAGTTAAAAGTCGTAAAATTAGTACAATTCCACCGTAATGATTTAATTCCCTTATCAGAATCAGCAGTTTACATATAAAGTTAACCATTTGAAGCTATATTAGGTATTATTTTGGAAAGGACCAGTATGGAATTCAACACTCAATTTTACTATTTGTCACCAAACACACAAAGTAGACACACAGGTGGTTAGCTTAACACAGTTAGCTTAACACAGTTTTCCATATGAACTCGTGATATTTCATGTTTCTTAGTTGTTCAGAGAGGTGTTTTAAGTATGTCTGTCCAGACTGTGTCCACGACAAATCACTCCGGTCACTTTTAAAAAGGATGCGGGAAAAACATAACTGCGTTGGCCGTCCCACCAGCAGTCAGCCAGGACTCACGCTGGAACCAGCTCCTGCTAAAAGGCCGGCTGTGGGACTTAGCTTTTTCATTGGTTCGCTGCGTTAAATTTATTTCGGACTTGTCAGGTCCCAGCTTCTTTACGTTTAATTTTTCCACCATTGTCCTTCTCACGTAAGGAGATCTCAGTAAAGATCTCACTGAATTATGTGAAAGCAGCTCTACAACTGTTGCCGTCGCCGTCATCTCTACGTCACTGCCTGACTGACCAATAGCTACACGTCTATGGCTTTGGGGCGCCAGCTCCAGGCGCCCCAAAGCCAATAATTTCGGCGATGCTGATTGGCCAAATATTTATTAATTTTCCCCAGCAACATTTTTCAATTGGTTAGCCCCAGAAGAGAAACGATACGTTCTGTGGGTGAAAATGCACCGTTGAATGAGAGTCAGTTGGTGGAAGTGTTGTTTTAATAATTCATATTACATGTAGCGACATATTATTAAGTAAAACTGACATTGATAATACTTTAAAAATAAATATATATATTATAACTTTCCCCCTCCACATCTAGGGGGGGCAGCGCCCCAGCGCCCCCTATGGGCTGGCCGCCATTGGTTGTGACTATGTGTAAATGTGGGAGTTAAATTAGTAATAGAGGACAAAGATGAGCTCCTCAATTTGACTGTAAGCTCTATTAACACAATTTTCCTTCAGAGAATCCACCAATAAGGCTTGTCAATGGCACTGACCGATGCTCCGGCAGAGTGGAGGTTCTACATGATGGCCAGTGGGGAACAGTGTGTGACGATGAATGGGACATGAGAGACGCCCAGGTGGTGTGCAGAGCCGTGGACTGTGGATCGGCTCTGACAGTCAAACCTGGAGCTTACTTCGGTCAAGGCCCAGGAGAGATTTTGCTGGATGATGTCAGCTGCATTGGTAACGAGACTTCCCTTTTGCACTGCCAACGTAGCGCCTTTGGAGAAAACAACTGTGGCCATAGTGAGGATGCGGGAGTGATTTGTGCAGGTATCCACATAACCGTTGGCTTTCCAATGAGACGTCAATCAGAATGTAATCCTGTAATCAACTTAACGTGTTCTGTTTTTCCAGCGAATCTTAGACTTATGAATGGGCCGAACCAGTGCTCGGGCAGGGTGGAGGTTTACCATCGATCTAACTGGTCACCAGTCTACAAAATCAACTTTGGGATGAACGAAGCTGCAGTGGTGTGCAGGGAGATGAATTGCGGAGAACCTGTCAAGATCTCGACTTCTTTCGGTGTCAGTGGAGATCTCAGAGGCTTAAAAGTCAGTTGTAGTGGTGGAGAAAGCTCTCTCACAAGGTGCACTCTGACAGACTATGTCCGGACCAGACACGACCATTTTCAAGATGTATCTGTCGAATGTGCAGGTTGGAATGGACTAATTTTTTTTAGATATCCTTTTTTCTTTCTTTAAGAGTATTCTTATGTAATGTGCATGTAATGTTTGCAGATCCACCCATCACTACTTTATAACTAACAAACAGTCAGTTGGTGTTCATAAACAAATTTAGCTGATTCGTCATTTCATTATAGGTTCATACATTTCTAATTAGCTATCCACAGAGGGATGGAGACAATTGGAATTCACTTTTTTTTATATATCAACTGTCATTCCCAGGAAACGTCAGGTTGGTCAATGGATCACACCGCTGTGATGGCAGAGTTGAGGTTTACGAGAGAGAAAAGTGGTGGCCTGTTTGTGGTCAGACCTGGGACATACATGGGGCTACAGTTTTGTGCAGAGATCTGGGCTGTGGTAGACCTCATGGGGTCACTACATCTTCTGAGTATGGTCTTGGTTCAGGTCCAACCCTGAATGAACAAATTGAATGCACTGGAACTGAGTACACATTCTCCCAGTGCCAACGGAGACCATTTGGGAACAGAATCTGCAATGCAACCTCAGTTGCTGGCGCTGTTTGCACAGGTATGAAGAACATTAGAATAAAGAAAATATTTTACAATAATAGAGGAATGAGAGAAAGAAAGATATCATTGTTCATCCCTCTGACGATTTTTGACAGTAACTGTTTGAGATTGTGTGTTCAGAATTTACCACACGGTTGATAATTTATTGTGTGCTTTTAAGATGTCAGCCTCATTTTTTTTTGTCTTTTATAGGAAGTCTGGAAGTCCGGTTGGCCAACGGTAGAGATGAGTGCTCTGGAAGAGTCGAGGTTCGTCATGGTGAAACATGGCAAACAGTGTGTGACACAGACTGGACCCAAAGCAAAGCTCAGGTGGTCTGTAAAACACTGGAGTGTGGAACTGCCTTAAGTGCCCCTGGTGGTGCCCATTTCGGTCAAGGCAATGGATCAGTGGTGGAATCGAGTGGCTCATGTTTTGATGACGGGACTTCTCTTAAAAAATGCTCAGTGCAAGGTTTCAGGACCGTAAACTGCGGCCATCAGCATGATGCTGGTGCGATATGTGCAGGTAAACTCACAAAAATTAATGTCATAAGCATTAGTTCCATTCTAAGTGAAACTGACAATTAAAAATTAGGATATGTAAAATCAAAACAATCTAATATTGAAATCAAATCCAATGAAAGTGCATCTTTAAAGGAGTAAGAACTGTTTTATCTTGAGCCATAAAGTAGTGTGTTATCTATAAGGTAGCCTTAGTTAATACCAAACTGTCCAACTTCTGAAGATAAATTGTACATATCAGCTTAAATGAGGGAAATACTACATAAGAAGAAAAGTGCACATTTTTGTGAGTTCTAAATGTAAAAATGAAACATGGACTTATTGCAACTGGTAGAACTACAATATTGATAATGAGGAACATTTTTGTAGTTCGCCAGTTAATCCTGGTAAATCTACAGCATTCAAAAGAAAAACAGATTAGATAATATCTAAAAAAAAAAAAAGTGAAATCTTTGAACAAGAGCTCATTCAGGCTGTACCATGACCAGGGCAGAACTCGTATAAACCTTCAGCCACACATGAGTGTGTGAGTCATTTTGATATGCACATTCACAGGCCCGAACCTGACGGAGCCCTAGATGTTCATCTTTTGTATTCTGCACCATAGTTATTCTTTCACTTCAAGTTTAAGAAGGCTTTTGTGGCTTCTTTAACGTAGTAAAAAATAAGTGTGTCTGACTTTCACTTTGCGGGAGATTTCTGTTTATGATAGTGATGTTACATGACTACATGCTGGGGCGAAAAACTTTGGTTCCTTAAATGCTGAATGATACCTACAATTAAGCATTGACTTAATCAGATGAAGCAGAACATTATCCTTTTTATGCCAGCATAGGCCAAAAACTTTTACAAAACAAAAATGAGTTTAGTTTCAGCTTTTGATTGATTGTTTTTCTGCTTTCTTGTTTTTCTGTTCATAATGTAGGGTTTCAATCATCTGACAATCACTGTGACTTGCTTTTATCAACATTTTTCACACAAAATCTGTTAAACACGTTTTTATTTTCTGTCACATTTAGCTCCGCTGCGGCTGGTCGGCGGCTCAGGTCAATGCTCAGGCAGAGTGGAGCTTTTCTACAAAGGCGAATGGGGAACTGTGTGTGACGACGACTGGCAAATAACCACCGCTGATGTGGTATGCAAACAAATTGGTTGTGGCCATGCTGTTGCTGCCCCTACAAATGCTCATTTCGGCAGAGGTTCTGGTCCCATATGGCTGGATAATGTTGAATGTGAAGGCCAAGAAGCCGCTCTCACACACTGCAGACATGCAGGTTTTGGAGAAAATAACTGCGGGCATGGCGAAGATGCTAGCGTTATCTGCTTAGGTAAGAGCCTATGAGGGATTCATTTTCCGTTCAACCAGCCTGAGTTGGTCATTCATATACCTCATGTTTTCTACAACTTGATTTCAGGTGCTCTGCAGAAACCACAGCTTACCATAAGCCCTGCTACAGAGGTAAACTGGGGGGATAGAGTTGAATTCACCTGCACTGTAGTATCGGAACACTTGGGTGGGACATTTGTGCTGAAAAACACCCAAGGGACATACACAAAGGAGAAATTCTCGGAACATGAGGCTGCAACCTTTATCATCCCTTCAGTGGACTTCAGCCAAAAGGGCTCATACTTCTGTGAATATCAAAAGAAACTGCCCGAGCAAGTAATCTATTATCCTCAAGGAAATGTTGCTGATCTGTCCGTCTTAGGTGAAACATGACTTGTGTTGTTTGTTTGTGTATAATTGTTGAATATTTAGTAGATTCCCACATATGTATGGACTGATGCCATGATTTCAAGTTCTGCCTTTCTCCTGCAGTGAAACTAGAGAAGCCCAATATCTTCCTGAACTCCCCTCACACCATGGTGATCTACAGTCCAGACAGACTAACGGTCAACAAAGGCAGCACCTTCGCTGTCACCTGCTCCACTTTCAGCACTTACTCCAATGGTGTCTTCTATCTGACAAACTCTGTCACAAACCACACTGAAGCAAAAGAAGCAACTGGCGACACCATCCACCGTCTAGCAAATTTTGAATTCTCTGAAGTAGATTTTCAACACCAAGGACGGTACTCCTGTGTCTACTCGGTTAACATCTCCACAGAGCCTTTCTGCTCCCTTCCTTCAAAATCACTCCAGATCTCTGTAATCTGTACGTTTCTCATGCATTTTTGTTTTTATTGTCTACTGGATTGTCTCCTCCCTTATGCTTAGCTATTTTGTGACTCCCACAGCCACCTCATCGCCTTCAGTTATTGGAGCTGTCGTGGGATTACTGGTGGTGTTGTTTCTCGCTCTGGTGATTGGATTCCTGGTCTGGAGAAAGAAATTGCGAGGTGCCGGTAAGAGGAATACTTGTTTTGCTGCAATAACCTGTCTCATTAGTCTGCAGTCTTTCATCATGAACTCCTATGGATGCTATTCCCACTTTTTTCAGGGGTCTTGGTTCAGTTTAGCAACAGGTTTGATGGAGCGGTTAGACAAGACATGGAAGACAGAAGCAAACGGCTACCCAGCGAAAGGTAAAAACTAGGGGATACCTTTCTGTTCTGAGATCAGTTTAGCCTCCTCTTGATTTAGGCATGAGTTTTTTATTTCAAATACTGACTGGTTACCGCCACTAGCAGTGTTCCTCTGGACTCACTGCATGTCTCTTCTGGCTCCTCATTATTTTATTTTCTATTTCCGCAGTAATGTTCAACACTGTTGATTTAGTGAAATCATCTCTCAAATCTGTTTAAAAAAACATTCCTCATTGCTCATATATCTTCAATTGCTTCTTTCTAAAATGTTTGCTTCCCACCCTTAAAGGCCTACACTTTCGTGCCAATGAAAAACATGCAAAAAAGAAAAAAGTATAGACACACAGTGTGTTTTACACATACATTCTATTCTATTCTAAGTAATAATATATGATCTTATTATGCCATTCTGCTTTGTCTGCTTTACTTATAACTTGATTAATTGATTTAGTACATTTTTTTTTCATTTTAATGTACCCAAGTCCACTGTATGTCTGTTCACTGTGTTGAGGTCAAATTATTTGGGCCACATCCTCACTGTGATTGTATCATCATCCTCTTGATCTTCTACAGGGAGCGCAGTAACCAGCTGTATGAGCCTGCACAACACAGCACGAAAGAAAATAATGTCGATCTTGATTCTGACCACCCTGCTGAAAGAGTTCCTGAAGATCTGGCTGGGAAAGTTTGTTATGAACTTGAACCTCTAGTTGATACTTTATAATAAAAAAATAGGAGAAGTGGTTTAAGTCAAATTTTACAGAGTAACACAGCATCAGGCTTAAAAGCAGCTTTCTTAATTCCTCTTTGTTTGAAAGTATCATTCTTTTTTTAATCATCTGTGTCAACTCGCATGTCCTGATGCATACTTTTACATCACAGCTTTGAAGTTAGGGGTTCAACTATCTTCTCTCTATGTTAAGTTGTTGTTGTTTAAAGTTTTTTTTTCCATCTAACCATTTTAAATGTAATTTCTTTTGATGAATTTAGCATTTTAGCTTTCAGAGAATAGAAAATAAACATAGGTAAGAGTATAATTTTTGGTGACATACACACACGGTTCGAGGTGCTGTAGTGCTTGGCAGTAACAAGGACTTTTGTTTCTCCGGAAGATTTTTCATCACAAAGCTGTGGTTCAAAGATTTGTCGGAAGATAGTGACAAGCGAACCAAAGCAGGAAATTTGTAAACTTTTGTATCGCATGGTAATTTCTGGTGCACATGACATGACTGCTGATCAATAAAGTTGTATTTCTTAAAACATTCAGAACAATGCAGTCTTTTTTTTAACACTTCATTTTTAATTATGTCTTATAACAAATTATCTGAATGCAAGCACAACTCAGAGGATAATTAACTTATCAACTCACGGAACCATACAGAAACATCCTAAAAACACGTCTGCAAAACAAGAATCCGAAAAAAAAAACAAAAGAGGCAATTGTAAGCTGTACTTTGATCCAGCTTTTAAATGCACTGAACAAAAACATGACATGACTTTTCATTGTGGAATACCCTGAAGACATTTTGACTTGGAGAAATCGAAAAGGTACTGCTTTAATACTGATAACTTGTCATGTAATGTCACTTTAGTAGTAAGTATGAAGTAAAATTAACTGCAAGGATTGAACTCAATATAATGTTTGTACAGTCCTTGAGTGAATTGTGTGTGGGGGCTTGTGAATTTTTTCACAGTTGAATCAGGCAGGCCACAACTGGAATGGTAGTCAAAAGAAGGTGTGTCCACACAGGCAGGTATGACTTTGTTCAAACCTGCTCGCCAGGTCTGCTGCCTCAGCCAGTTAGTACAACGTAGCTTCATTTAGGATACGGGAACATTCCTGAGCTGTGCACTTCTCAATCTTTCTCTATTTTCTTGCCAGTATTTAAATTGTGTGTAAGAATTAACTGCAGACTGCAGATATGTCAGTGATATTGTTTTATTCCAGTGTGAGCGGTTCTACTACGGTAAAGTATGCAGTCTTCCTTGTTTATCTTCTACTCTCTATTCTACAACATACACAGTAAACAAGTCTGAGTTGTGTCAAAGTTTACGGTGTTAACCGCTTTTTTAAATCTTTCGACCATCTCATTTCTCATTTTCTAAGAAACGTACACTTAAAGCTGGCTTTGTCACGTATTATTCATGCGTATTCCTCTCCAGATGAAAAAAAATCAAGAAAGGATCATGTCTGTCCTGACGTCCAAGGACATCCCATTCAAAGCAGTGGACATTGCTCAGAATTCTGAAGACAAGGACTTAATGAGGAAGAGGGCAGGCAATTCAAAGGCACTGCCTCCACAGATATGCAATGGAGATGTATACTGCGGAGTAAGTTTTCTGTATTTAAAGGGAATCGTATAAATAATAAGTACAAGTTCCTATTTATTGTAATCCATCATGTACCAGAATGTACCAGATATTGTGTTTTGCTTTCCTTCTTCTCATTTAATCTCTGTTAGGCCTGTGCTTTTTCTTTTGCAAGAATGTTTGTGTTGTTTTAAGCATGCAGAAATAAACCTAAACTCTACCAAAGAGTAAGTGTGTTGTTGAGTGGTCGTGTTGCTTTTGAACAGACACAGCTCAGCGGCAGATGCAAATAACTTTGAAGAAATGACATGCTATACAATAAATCATTATTTTACACGTACAGCAAATAAATACTTGTACTATAAGAAATGCTGAAACAGGTTGTTTTTCTTCTTACTATGTCTCGCCTCAATCATCTCTTTAAACTTTCTTTTCTCTTTCAGGACTATGATGCATTTGAGAATGCAATTGAGATGGAGAAATTAGAGGAGTTCCTCAAACTCTAAAGAAGACAGTGGCCAGTAATGTAGGACCAACATCCCAGTGTTTAATGGACAAAAAAATATTGATAATTTGATTATGTGACGAGAGATGCCTTCATGTTCAAATGTTTGATGTAAAAGAGTAGAAAATAAGTTCTCACTGTCAAAGATTCTTCTGATTGAGATGCCATGAGAAGTTATGTGGGTTTCTTCCAGTGGATCTTCTACTACTTAAATAAAATGCTGTGGAACCGTTTTAATCATGTGTGCCATTGTCTGATTCATCATCTTTTATGTAGAATATATACAGCTGATTGAACCACATATACCTAATTCTCTTCAGGATTTGTTAATCTGAATTCACTAGCATAGTTATATAAAAGTTTGATAAAATCCTAATAATTCTTGTCAGTGTTTCTACTTGGTGAAAAAAACAACTTTATATGTACTGTTTATTGTGGAAAATACTGATTAACAGTAAACTGTTTTGATTGGTGTCTAAATATGGATCATTTATTAGAAATGTGTTTTTTGTGAAGTAAAAACAAAAAACTATTAGATATTTCGATGACAAACATGCTTTTTCCATAGAAATACGTCCATATATGTCTGTTTTTTTCCATCTAAAATAAGGACTTTTTTTTTTTAATTAAATCAAATTTGATGTATTTAGATTAATTTAAATCAAGATGACAAATGGTGTGGTATTACAATTTACAAAGACAAGTATCTTTATGTCGAGATAACAAAAATCAAACAAGGTTAGATTTTATTTCTTATGTCTGTAAACTTTATTTTTCTGTGAAATAGTTCTGACTCCAAGAGAGGTTCTATTATTATAGTTTTCCTACAATTTAATATTATGTTTGTATCGTTTAATTTTGTTTTTCGTAACTATAATAGATGTTGACATTTTATTTTTTGTTAAATGTGCTGTAAACGTACAACAGGCAGCAATTTGGACACCGCGGTCTGGCGCTGATGGGGCCTATCGGCATTAAAACCATGTCGCAGCCTTATGACGTCCTCTTTAACTGCTGCCCGAGAGGAGGAAAGGGTGCGTTTTTCTTAAGTGGGCACAATCCCGAGGATTAATTGAACATCGTTTGTTATAAATTCACCGAACATAGTCCTAAATAATGGACGATAACTATCATGTTGTATGTTCTCTTTATTTCAGAACTTTGAGTCCGCCATCCATCGCAAATCTACAATGGCCGAGGAAGGGTAAGCGTGACCCTTCTACATAGCACAACTCTGTCAAGTTGAGCATTATTTGTCCAGATTGTTGAGGGATCCCGTTGGTTTACGTTGCTATTATGGAAATGATATTATGAAGGTATTGCAAACGCTTTTTTCATGTGTGTGAAGAGTAAAGCATCAAGCTCTAGTTACCCAAAGCTAAGAGGCTAGCTTACGAGAGAAGCATCTTGACTTGAATATTGAGCGGCAGAAATTCTTAGTATCTTCAAGTTGAACAATGAAAAAGCATTCAGAGTTTCTGTAAAGGCCCCATAGAAGGCTTTATTACCAATACTTCTGCTCTAAATGTAGAGGTGAAAAGAAGACCGTCCAGGCAGTTCTGATGGGAATTAAGTGGTTTATTAGATGCATTCCTGTATTGGTGGTAATGGCTCTTACGTTTTGTTTTGTTTAATCTTTTATACTTATGATTCCATGTAAGTTCAAGTGATGGAAGCCTTTAGTCAGCCATTGAATTTATTTCCCTCTGGCACAGGAAGGGGAGGGGGGAGATTTGATTAAAAGTCCTTGCCTTTGTAGGGTCTATCCTGCTAACATTCACCCCTTGATGTGAGCTCTCATGCATGAATGATGATTTGCATTCTTTTGTCGGATACCCCTTCACTCTACAGTGAGTGAGACACTCCTTCTGACATGCCAGGAGCTCATTAGAATAACAAATCTATTGTAAAATTAGTCGTTTTATTATAAAGATGTAGGTCATGGCTGATTTTGTTTTTGTGTACAGCACTGCTGCCGGAGGTGTGATGGATGTCAACACCGCTCTCCCTGAGGTGCTCAAGACCGCACTCATTCACGATGGCCTTGCCCGTGGTATCCGTGAGGCTGCCAAAGCCCTGGACAAGTTAGTATAAAACCTTTTTTTTTTTTCTTGTCCTCACTATCCACCAGAAACATCTGTGATGATATGTTGGCTCCCTCTACTGAAACAGTGTGTGGAAACCTGCCATTGTTACCCAATTTCTGTCTGAGATCTGCCGTTGGTGTAGAGCATCAATGGTGCGTAGCCCTGTGCCAGCCCTTAATTCAGTTAAATGTGGTTTCTTCCCAGGCGTCAGGCCCATCTCTGTGTCCTGGCTGCCAACTGTGACGAGCCCATGTACGTCAAGCTGGTAGAGGCCCTCTGTGCCGAGCACCAGATCAACCTGATCAAGGTAAGGAAGCCGCATCAGTAGTCCATGGTGTGTTTATCTACTGGTACTGAGGGCCATGTGTTGCTGTATCACTGATGATAATTTGGCTCCCTCTACTGAACACTGTGAGGAGATTGCCACTGTTACCCAATTTCTATCTGAGATACAGTCGAAGTTTATTTTTCTCATTAGCTAAAATGTCAAAGATGTCTGACTCTGACTTCGGGGCCTATTTCAGGGAAACCTTTGAGCCTTTTGAGTGTTTATACATACTGTAAATATGGTTCTAAAGAAAGGCACATTTTCTTGAATTCTCTCTATTTTTGAAAGAATGGGTCATTTTCAAACTTGTCAGGTTGATGATAACAAGAAGCTCGGGGAGTGGGTCGGACTGTGCAAAATCGACCGTGAGGGAAAACCCCGCAAGGTGGTTGGCTGCAGTTGTGTTGTTGTCAAGGTAAGAGTTTTAGTTTTTCAGTACAGCTGCAGGGTACTTTGGTGTATAGGGTGACTACATAGGCTGGCCAGTCAAGTACAGGTGCTGTGCTTCGTGCCATGCAGCTGTTTTAACTCCTGGCAAGACTACGGCCATGGTACGAGCCCCATCGTCTACCTGTGATATCTGGGGTCCCTATGATTGGCTACATACTGTAAAGACAGGATTGTTTAGTTTGTCACTAATCCTTCTAAACTAGTTTGTTTCAAAGATGATATTCTGAGGATTTAAACCCAGTGAATAAATTACTGTCATTGTAAGCTTTAAACTTTATTTATTGTGTTAATATTGATTTTAATTTTTCCCTGCTCAACAGGATTATGGCAAAGAGTCTCAGGCCAAGGATGTGATTGAGGAATACTTCAAAGCCAAGAAATGAAGTGTCAATAAAATCTGTAAATGACATTCTGTTTGTCCTTTTTAATTTGACTCCCAATGATAGTTCAGAGTGCTTGGATTTTAAATTTTGAATGCGTCACAGTTTGAGTGTAAAGAAGTTACAGTGCTTTGTGTGGATCATCTACCGTAATTAGATTCTGTCATAAAAGGGCCACGGATGAATAAAAAAGGTTTTAATGTTAGACAATCAAACACTAAAGAACATATGATTAACATCCCAGTTCCCCCAGAATAAAAGTGTACAAATCCAGAGAGAAAAGACAAGATCCCAGGAAATTTATTTTCCTTGACAAAATGAGCAAACATCCACTGTCCTTAAGTTTATTGGAAATAATTTACAGAAACTTCTACCACAGATTGCATCATGTTGCGATTATACCATCAGGAAGAAAACATTTAAAAAAAAAAAAAAAAAAATACCTTATCCCAGTATACATAATGGAGCCTGTACAGAGACGCCTTCAAATAATATTTGGGTGAGGAAGGTTTCTTTTTGATGGCAGACATGTCCCAGTGTCCTGGGTGCTTGGATCACAAAATCTTCCCAAGAGTTGAGGGCCTTTTGAACTCAAGCATCTGCGTCAGCTGGGTGGATGGTGGACTTAAGCTTTCACAGAACCAGGAATGCCGGGTGGGGTTTTTCCTGACCTCGATGACCTTTACCTCCTTTTATCTCTTTAAGACCAATACGAGTTTGTAAATCCAGACATTCAAAAAAAAAAAACACAAAATGGGTGAGGGGAGGGGGTTACAAATGGTTGCAGTGTAGTGTGTTTTTTGTTCTTAAATAGTTATACAAAAAAAGGGCTGCCTGGCTGACCATTTACCATGAGTCCATATTGCTATGATAGTTACAGGTATTCAAACTCCAGTGCTTGGTGTAATGCCAGCAGGTCAGAGTGACTGGATATCCTCCAGAAAGGCATGTTGTGCTGCGAAACAAACACACGTGATTAGCACAGGCGTGGCGCCGCGATGGGAGCTGACCACCACCACCCAAAGACATGCAAGCTACACTACAGTAGCTTGTAGCTGCTTACTTTGCAATAGCACTGCAAACGAAACCCATGCATACTTTCCCCTCCGTTTCAATGAGGCATTTTGGGAGCATTTTGAACTCCTGTTCTGAGAGTTTCAGGAAATCACAACAGTCTTGGAGTTGGAGAGCAGCTACCATGGCTCTGTCAAATGTTATAAAACTAAGGCGTATTGATAAACACACATGGCGCTTTACCAGGTGGAAACTTTTAATTTATCTGGTCCAAAGAGAACAAAACTATTTTGTCTCCATGTTGCAGATACGGTTCTGAAGTCCCAGTTGCCACCAAACAGAGCATTTCACTCATGATAGGCTATAAATCCTCAAAATGAATCACAGAAGGGTAAGTCACTGATTAGACAAAAATAATTTAAATATAGCAAATGTGGATGGAATCAAATTAGTCCTAATGTCACTTTTGAAGTCAGCTTTTGTTTGAATTACTAATGACTATAAAACATTTGTTGTTTAAAGAGGGAATTAGTTCTTTTTAAACAGAGCCATGCTTGCAATTTCCCCATATTTCCAATTATGCCAAATTAACTGGCATCTGGCTGTAGCCTTCTGTTAATGCATCAATCCTTTAATCCAACTCTCAGAAAGAAAGTGAACACATGTATTTCCCAAAATGCAAATAGTTTTAAAAACAATCCCAACACCCTGCAACACATGAAATCCAAAGATGGACAAGAGCGGATTCATTTTCTTAGAAAAACCCATCCTAATTTAGTCAAACAACACACAACAGATAGTCTCATTTTTTGCATTTTAACTTCTTTGACATACTGTACTCCATCAGTTAAAATGACAGATGATCACATCAGTGGATAAAAGGCGGCAATTTAGCTAGAGACAAAAAGCTTGGTTACTGTGTATATTTGAGCAGTCACTGATTTCTTTTGTTGTCACATTAATTATAATAAGAGACATCTAAGTGGTCCAATATCAGTTTTTAAAAAAAATCTCATAAATATATTTAAATATATATGATATATATTTTTATTCAATCATAAATGCAAAAATATACACAGCAAGCTGAGCTGCTCTCTCAGATATTCACTCGGACAACTGCAATCCAGAATTCCATCGCTCCATTAAAAAAAGCAAAAATCCCCAAAAAGTAGACCAGAGAAGGTTCGAAGACCAAACACAAAACGGGAGCAGCAAAGAAAGGCAGGTTTGGTCCAGTCAGAGCTCACACTATGCGGCGTTGGCGGGGTGACGGTAAGCTTGTGGAGAGGGGTCCATTACCTTTTTGGCCGCCTGCTCCTCTTCCACACCGTCCCCAATTACAACATACACTACTTTCCTGCCAAACCTTTGCATTATGCGCTCAAAGCAACTCTCTTTTCCTGCAAAAAACAAATAAACAAGGGGAGGAAGGAGGGTCACATGGTCAGAGGGGTCAAAGTTCAGAAGTCGTTTGTTTACCTGGCTGGCAGCATGCTCCTCATCCTTCCCATCGCCAATCACAACATATGTAATGTTAGTGCCAAAGCGGGAGACTATACGCTCAAAACAGCTCTCTTTGCCTGGAGACAAACAAATGGCTTTCACAGGGTTTTCCTTTCTTTAGATGGCAAAGAAACAGGCAGAGCTCTGTGCATGTGAGTGAGGTGGACAGAGACACATAAGAAGAACAGTTTTCCGTCATCTGATAGTACTGACACTTAAATTCACACTAGTGGATATGGTTTTGTCTGTGGGGAAAGTGGCACCGAGTCCTAAACTCCAGTGTCTTGAACTCCTGGGGCTAGGCATTTCGGCCACATCCATCGGCCAGCATCCCCCCTATTCTGAGCTGTGTTGCTGACTTTGTGGTCACAACAGTGAGGAACAAACTCTGTATAGTCAATTCAAAACGTGGGCGTCCAGCTAAGGATATCCAGTCAACGCCTTCTTCTGAGAGAAGGAGATTTGATAATCACACAGCTTTTCCGTCACTGAAGAAGCAGCTCCAAACATTAAAATCAAGAATGGCAGAAATTCCTGTGGGTGACTAGAGTTACAGAGACACAGTTTGATTTATACATTATGATCAGTTTTTATTCAAAGTGGATTCGTAATGATTATTCTGACTACATTTTTTTAAAATCTTAGTCTTACCCCGCCTCTGTCCCTCTACCACCTGAAACTGAGTGTTTTAGCTCTCTATCAGCCCCCAGATTGGTTGTCTTTGCTGATGGCTTTGCTTGTGAGAACTGCCTCATCTTTCTGGAGTTGTTTGAGTCGGGAATGTTGTCAATAGTTGTAAAATGACGTCCAGATGAATGCTTTTGGCCAAAATAACTGTGTAGTTCAAATCAGATAACATGACAACGCCAGATGAAATGCATCACATTGTTAGAATGTGAACAATCATCCACAGGGAGACCTTAGTTTGGCTTTGTGGCTTTGCCTTTGCCTTGAGCAGATAATAATCAGTCTGTGACAAGCTGACGTCAGCTAAAAGGGAACATAAACTGAAGTAACTAATAAGTATTAGAATCACATGTGCACATGCATTACTTCTACCTGACTGGTTTGCCTCAGTGGGTTTGGTTGATTAAATGGTCTCATTGCTTATCAACTGTTTCAAATGCGTGGGTATGAAATAATAATCCTGTAGACATTGTGAATATTCATGTTTTCTTTCCGTGTCGTGGTCTTACCTATTTTTGTCGCACTGTAAATGTTCTCAATAGGGAAAACCGATCCAAGACTATATAGGAGCACTTTAGCCAGCGCTGGTATGAGCTGCGTCGTGGTCACCAACACATTTACACAGTTACTCCTGCAGGACAAAGACATTGAGCGGTTGATATGTGGATGACTCACTGGAGCAACGAACAGATCTTTCACTCTACATTTCAAATATTGTCAAGAGACTGAAAAGATAAGGAACTCCAGCCGATGAGACCCAAAGAGTGAACGCGAGGTGCACCTGGAGCTGATGATGGACAGGGACTTGAGTGCGTGTGTGAGCCAGGAGTCGGTCAGAGCTTCCACCTCTGCCCTCAGCTGCAGCCAGGCATCTCTTTTAGCGGGACCCAGCAGACCTGCAACGCAGCGCAAATGTGCTCAACACATCAGCTGTTCAGTCAGACCCACGTGGGCGTTTTCCAAAACACCACATGTTGGTTTTTGGTGTCAGTGCTTGAAAACGGAGAAGAAAGTCTCAGATTTGTCTCAGATAAATGAAAAAAAACAAAACAGGAACACTGACGCTGCCACCTTCTAACATTCATTAAAATTCGCTGCCCAATGATAACAGATTTAAATGCTCACTAATATTTCAACCAGCTAGTAGATTTTTTTTTACTGTCACAGTACACAACCCAACCTGCTCGACACAAAGCACAAATATTGCACATTTTTGGGATCTGAATCCTGTTCATCACTTTTCAGTTCATCGCAACTTAAAAGAGCAAAATTTCCTCCCTTTTTCTACCGTACAGGAAACTCCTCTGATTGGCTTACCCCCCACATTGTTTTTGTATGTGCTATACAACTCTTTGACCCGTCTGTAGCGGAAGGCCAGTTTCCTCATCCAGTCGACGCCGCCGCGGACACCCGTAGCCAGGCACAGGTTGGCGCTGGTTGCAGCTGCATGGAAGCCATCAGTTGCAAAACTGTAAGTACTGTCAATAATAATGATATGTTTTATTTGAAAAGTCTGGGCCGTTAGAACAAAAGTTTAAGATTATTGCTACTAATGTTTTTATTGTTATTCAGTAACTTAAAAGAACAGAATCAAGATTAAATATGTACATTTTCAAACATGTGTTTTACTGTTGAAGTGACTATTTCATTGACTCAATCTTGAGGGTCACAATATTAGAAACTAAATGAGAGAAAAACAATCAATTATTGTTCATAGCTGACATTCTATGAAACAGAAAAAGCAATCACCTTAAGTCCTGGCCATTGTCATCTGATGACACATCATCAATATGCACCTGATCACATTCCTGTAGAAATAACATTCAAAGTAAGTCCATCATGCCACCATGAACTGGGCATAAAGACAATGTAGTGCTTGCATTTTGCCACCACTAGAGGGCAGTAGTACTGTTTTGCTGATTGAGAAATTGACCTCAAGAAACCTGTTCTGTGCCTGATGCTGATCTTTGTGGAAAATGTGAGCACTTTTTCAGAACTCAAAGCCTCTAACTTACCCCTTGAAAATGTGTTTCGTTTGTGTGTATGAAAGAAGGAGAGAGAAGGAGCTTTACCTCCAGGTCATTAAAGAATAAGTGTGTGTCGGCCAAGTTGAAAATCATCTCCTCCATCCTCAGACCAAGAGTCACCGCCATGGGAGGGTCCTAATGGAAAAATGTATCACTGTGATCACTGTTTTCTTTTGTTGTGAAATTGTCCTAGCCTAAACATAATTCTTAGTTTGACACAATTTCCCACTTCACACGTCAAACCCCCCTCATCCCTCCCATTGAACGAGTTGGTACGTTCCGCTCATCACGGGATGATGCTGACAGACAGGTTGAACTTGTTCTGTCCCATCAACATTCCAAAAGAAAGACTGTGTCTCCTCGTTTGTGTGTGTTGTGGAGAGAGGGTATGCTCAACGGGAGACACTTGGAGTGTATGTGGTATGTGAATGGTCCGTGTGTGTGTGTGTGTGTGTGTGTGTGTGTGTGTGCGTGTGTGTTTAGGAGAACGCAGCCTGCCCTGCCAGCCCGGGGCTCAGCTGCAAAAACCATCATCTGTGATAGGTCAGCAAGGGTCGACAGCTTGCTGCACGATTCGCTGACGCTGTCAGACGACCAGAATAGAAAGAGACTAACTGGAAGGAGAGTGAAAGTTAGCAAGGGGGGCCACACAAACACCCACACACTGAAAGGGAGAAACGGACAGAAATCTTGAGAGTGAAATATTGAAACAAAGTGGAAAGATGGGACTTTAAAACTGTCGGCCAATGAGGATTATTTCTATGGTCATGATAACGTAGGCCGTGAGTCAAAAGAGAGCAAACAGCAATGGGACCTCTGTGACCTTTTTTTGTTTGTCAATCAGACATTTGCACACATTAATTTGACCTCTGGGCATGTAAAAAGAAAGTGTCAGACTGTCAGCTTCAGAAACTCAACACTCCATGGTGATAGGAACATCATCCCTTGTTTTACCTCCTTTTAATATGTGGTGAGTAGGTCATTTGCCAAAAAAAAAGTAATGTGCTCAAAGGCCTATGATACCTCTCATGAGTCTTGTGGTTTTTGTGTCAGTAGTACATGCTATTTTGGGAGAAGTGTGAACAGACACAGCTGCCACTGTGTTTTCCACATAAGATGAAAATGAGTAAAAATGCCCCTGCAAATATTTCAGTTCCATATTTAGTGGAAATTTAATTCAAATGATGCAAGTCACAATGAGCCCCAAAGCAGCCTCACACAGGTTTGTGAAACTAACAAATCGTGACTTGTTGATTTTTTATTCTGGTACAAATGTGATCTTTTTATTTGTCATTCTCAATTGTTTGACATGCCCATCTGGTAAAGATTGGGCATTAAAAACTACTGAATAGGCTCAGAAACAAACGTTTTGCTTAACTTGGAACTTCATGGAATGTCTACCTGGAAATCACAATTTTTTCATACCATTTGACAAGTCCTGACACATCTGCACAGGATTCAGATGTAGTGAGGGCACAAAAGTTCCCACTGAAACCAGGGGGGAAAAAGCACAATTTATGCCAATTCATACAAATCCTGCTGCTGCTTTTCTTTTCTTTCTTTTCCTTCCTTTCATATGTTTCCATGAGACGGGATATCTGGTCTTGTCAAACAGTATTTAAAGCCATGACGAGAGTTATGTTTAACCTAATTGGAAAAGTATGTAGTTAATTATTTGTTTACAAGTCAGGACAAATGTAAAAACCTCCTCTACTCACACCTAAACCTAAACTGTGATTTAACAATTTTCATAAACTATTTCCATGCAGTAACTGAAACAGTCCACACAGAGAAGCCACACGTGTTTCTGTCTCACACACACACACACACGTGCACGCACACACTTGCAACACAGCAGGGCCTTTTTTTTGCTAATCAAATCCCAAATGCCGAACATTAAACTCTACGACTGCAGAGCGTATAAAAGGCACATCAGTGCCCACATACCCTATCTGTAAAACGCCCGGGCTCCTAAGGCTCAAGGCAAGTCTAGCAGCAAATTGCACATGTTGCCGTGCCAGCGTTTGTTCAACTGCCAAACGGGACTATCAGAGCAGATCAGGGATGAAAAAGCTGCACACGCTGGCTGGTGGCTACTCCGGTGCCCACAGGAAACAACATCACCTAATAAAAATCTGTAGCCTTAACCACACGGGATAATTCCACATCAGTGCCAAGAGCTATTAAAATAAGGCGAACTATAAACAGTGTAGCTGCTATGTCAGAATGTGAGACCACCAAATAAGTTCAGAGAGAAGATGGAATAGACCATCAGTCCGGGTAAGAAATTAACACATTATGTTATGACGAAACTAACAAAAGATCTGACAGATATTAATGTCTATGTTTTATGGACTTTATTTTGCAATGCCTCTAATTAGAAGCTGACCACAAAGTTCCTGAGCAGATGATGTCATTTAAGTAATCTGCCAAGAAAAATGAAGCTTTTGTATGATATGCCCTCACTGTGAGGCCTCAAGTTAAAGTCTGGGCATTATTGTGTTGTTATACTAAGAACACTTCATGGCCATACAACAAGGTTTACCCCTTATTCAATGGTTTTCTGCTGAGATGAACTGATGTTGTGGAGCTTGGACACAGATATTACTCTGGATGGCACTGAGAAGTCCCAATACAAACAGACAGTGTCTTACCTTGCCATATTTCTGTGCATAAGAGCCTGTGAGCAGGGAGTGGAAGACAATAATCGTCTCATCAAGATCCCACACAAACACCCTCTAAAGAGAGAAAGAAACAGAAAAAATTATATTCTTTTTGTTTCAGAAATGTGACATCAGCATGTGAATGGTTTTTCCAAACTGCACAGAACAAACTCTCCTCCCGCCTCTCCTCCATGTTCTGATACCACAGTGAACAGAGGAGATGAAGATCAAAAGAAATACCACATATCCATTGAGGTTTGAATTGAATATTAAGTCACAGCTCCAACAGCTCTGCAGAGAGACAGAATGTTTTTTAGACTCTTACCTCCAGGTCACTGTCAGGGGGAGGAGAGGGGTTGTTTTTGCGGCCCCTGCCACGTGACTTGGACCCCCCACTCCGGCAGGCTCTGTCATCCAGCTCTTTGATGGGCGTGGAAGGGCTCTGCACTGTATCAAAGTCCCCTGAGAGTGAACATAAACGGGGAAAAAGTGTTTGAAACATTTGATATTTTGAAATGTTCAGATATGTGCCCAACTAGTCATACTACGATATCCAGTGCAGTGAGGGGAAAGTAACGATGTGGTTTGAGCTGATTCCACAGGTGCCCTGGAGTTGTATCCATCTCAGGAAGAGCAATAATTCAGACTCTGTGCAGTGAGTAGTCCTGTCAGCTTTAATAATTCAAGATAATTGGCATGACAGATCAACTTATCGGCTACCAAGAAACCTAAACAGACACTCTATTCATATTCTGAGTGACTGATTGCTCATAATAACATGAACAACATGAAATTTAGCAAAGATGGGGAAAGTTAGAACCGTGCAATAAATCTAAAAAAGTTACGCAATCCGGTGCTTCTTTCAAAGATACTGCCCTAACAAAAGCATACATGATTATACACACAAAGGCGCGCACACATATTTCTGCACACGAGCACCCCCCAACTTCAGCCCCCCCATGCCATATGCTCCCACTGCTGCTCGGTAACTAGAACCAGACCCCGAGCTTCAGCCCTCATATTGTTATGTCTCAATCAGAGAGGAAAGTGAGAGTGAGAAGGTGGGGGAGGATAAGGAAGACACAAACAGCTAGAGACTGACCCGAAAAAAAAAAAAACTGATATCATCTTAAACTACTACAGAAAAGAGTAGATGAATGAAATGTAAAAGCAGTGAAAGGAAAAAATATATATCAGTGACAGGAAGAATGATAAGCTCCTTTAATCAGGCTTTCTCTTACAGCTAAAATTAAAGTTGAATGTGGAGTTCCTGTGCATGTGTGTGCACTCTATCCCACACACTTATGATTTCTCCTCTTTTTCTACTTGTCAACAAAAAACGTTTGCCTAATCAGAATCTTAGGAACCACATTCCAACTCCCCCGATTAGTGAGCTCAGTGCCAGGTAACTATGGATACAGTCTGGGGACTCTTCCTGTGCTTTATCAAGGCTTAAATAGGGTGTTGAACTCAGCTACTCAAACTGGAATTTTTCAACTGGAAACAAGATTCTAGAAACACAATCAGAGGCAGTAAAAAAAAGTTTGACATTTGTTTGCATATTTATGAAGTTACGACATGGGTGGAGACTTGCTGATTAGAGCATTTCATTCTTGGCTGTGAGCATCCCGCCTTTACAAACCTGGGTGAAGTTCAGCGGCTTGTCCTGTCATGGCGGGGGTGGGATCTTGCAGCTGGTAGGCCGCTGTGGACCCTGTGCCATCTACGCTGTTGGAGGTCATATACGTCCCGTAAGTGGAGGCAGAGTAATACTGCGGGTACTGGTTTTGGCCAAATGTCGTGTATGAGGGATAGTCCTGCAGAAGACACTGCAGTTCATAAGTACACAGAGACATCAAGAAAAAGAAAAGAGGAAAAATGAGACGTTTAGCTTTTTCTGGAGAGGGCCAGTTTGACTTCTGAGGACAGATTTTACAAGTGTTCCCTCTCATTTCTCTAATCTTTTATCCCCTCCAATCTGTATTTTATATCTCTGAGACAATTAAAGCCGTGTGCTGTTGCTTTTTACTGACCCAGTGCAGATGGGCACTTTTATGAGTCAGCTCTCTAAACCTGTCACTACGTCAATCTCTGCAAGTCCTTATAAACTGGAGCATACCACATGAATGCACGCACAAACGCATGCACAGCTGGTGTGTAGTCACACAGCACTAGTTGCACACATGAACTTGCTCTCTGTTAGATCCAGTTCCCTCTTTTTGGTCTCTTGCCTGCATTTTCTGTTTCTGCTAAATTCATACGCACCCATCCATATTTCAGTTGCCTCAGAGAATACTACACTGACTTACAATAATATTTCCTAACATGGCTAGTACTCACCAACCCCTTATAATCAACTTTCCTTTAACCTAACCTCATTCCAGCCTTAAACTTACTTGCCATGCTAAACATTGTGATTGACATAATGGTAATTAGCTTTTTGGCCTCAAATCAGAGAAGGGTCCCCATGGTGTGACTGTTAAATCAGATTTATGTCCCCACAACATGACTTACACAAGCAAACACACACACCATATTCCCCTTAATCCACCCACATGGGCCAAACCTTGACTTTCTTCCTGTAAACAGCCACATCTATCATAGCAAGACATTTAAATCCCCCTATAAGCATTTTGCTACCACAATACAATTCATCATATGGACATAAAGAAATATTCAGAACAAAACACTCTCTCACAAGTCTAATTGTCTGTTTTTCTCACAAATTCCCCCATGTTGCAAATTTGCTGCGTAAAAGGGTTTTATTTCTTAAAGCTACCCTGACTGAAGAGTGTTGTGTGGGAGCGAGACTGTAAAAAACCACCCCTGCACACAAATGCTGTATGCAGCTGCAGAGGGGAAAAGGGGAACATTTAACCTGCTCATAAATAACCAAATGGTTAACCTTCTTTAAGGTGCACCACAAAAATCTATCACAAGTTATGTTCTTTTTCTGTTTGACCATGGGAGGGTGCATGCATCATGCGTGGCGTACCTGCTGTGTGGCAGTGTAGTTGGCAGGGTTGGACACTGAGTTATTGGTGGTGTAGAGGCCTGAGGAAGGAGTGAAACTGGAACCTTTGGAAGATGGAAGAGGAATAAGACTTTTTTTCAACCGAGTTAGGGGATTGAAGTGCATTTTATGGGAACTGACCTGGCATTTGATAGGGGGAGTAGGCCGTTTGTCCGGGCTGAGGCGTGGTGAAGCCGGGGCTGTAGCTGAGGCCTGTCTGCAGGGGAGACTGGCTCTGGGTTAGGCCTGTCTCTGTCTTAATGCCTGGAAGCATCACACCGAGGTCTGCGAAGGACATAGTGAAATGTTTAAAAGTTAACTGATAAGTAATCATCAATAAAATGTAAAAACGAAATGTAAACAAAATTGCCATCCTGAAGTTTTTAGTTAGAAGCTAGTGTTTTCAATCTTAGTTTTCTCTTGTGTTTAATCTTTACATTTTTAGATTAGTATAAGTTATTGGTCCCTTGCTTCACTTTGATACAAAATGTGTAGCAAGGTCTTCCTGGTGTGTTGATTAAATATCTCGCTGGTAGATTCAGCAGGATGAATTTTGAGGTATGTCAAGCTATACTATCTGCACAGTTTTAGTCAAAAGCTGTAAAACTGATGGGAAATTGCTTCTCATTAAAGACAGATAAGGAGTGTGTGTGTTAGTGAGTACCATAGGTGGACAGTCCGTAGGCCTGTCCTGTCTGTGAGTAGGCTGTGTACACAGTTGACTGCTGCATGCTGCTGAACTGAGGTTGGCCAGCATACGTGGGCATAGCGGGGGCTGCCGGCGTGGAGAGGATGTGAGGGTAGGGCCTGAGAACACACAGGTGAGGTCAGTGCTGGCCAGCAAACTGTTACTCTACACAGGGGGAAAGTCAGCTAAAGTTTCCTAAAAAAGAGGCCTCTTTTGTTTGAAAAGACAGACTTACTTAGAAGGGTAGAGGGGAGGAGAGTACTGGTGGGCTGAACGAGGGCTGTACCCACTGCTGGTGATCACTAAAAACATGAAAATAATCAACAAGGCAGATATAGATTTCACTTGGTGACGGCCCAAATCCTCTGTTTTATTTTCCCATTGGAAAAACCAAAGAACACTTCTGTGCAGCACAATTTAAGCCCTGTGGCTTATTTGAGCTGAAATACCATTCCAGTAAACATAATCTGAAGCATTTTACATGGAGAGGAGCCAAGGTTTCTCTTTAGAGAGTCCATGACATTCCTTCTCGTGGGCCTCATAGTAAAACACAATGTGTGTTTGTGGTCATTGAGATGTCAGAGCTCAGTAGTGACAAACACCCCGCTGGTTCTAAACCCAATATTTGTTTCACCTAATAGTTCACCTAATAGTGTGTGTGTTTTGCAGTGTAAAAAGAGCATCGGGCAATACACAAGACTAAAAAAAATCCAGGGTTAAAATGTGTCTCATTCCTCTACCAGCCTTTGATGGTGCAATCCAAGGACAAGCAATACTTGAGAGGATTAGATCTTTCAGCAGGGATACCACTAGGCTAAAAAAGGTGATGGTGTTTGCATTGTTTTGTATTTGAGTCTTAGAGAGCAGATTGAAGTCAATCCGAGACTAAGGTTAATGTGCTTTACCTGAGCCTGCGTATGTGTCCAGTGCTGTGTCACCTGTCGTAGTAACTGTCTCACTGCTGTTCATAGGCTCTGTTTTCACTGAAAGGAGAGGAAATCATCAGTGTTAGGGCATCAGGGTAAAGAAGTCTATTTTTTCTCTCTCTCTCTCTGGCACTCACACAAAGAAAGAGGAGAAGAAAAGTATCATGCAGTTTCCAGCATGTGAACAAATTGTTGTGCCGAGGGTTCCCATTGCAATTGTGATTACAGTCCCCATGGTTTAACATTCACTGAGTTGGAGCACCACCCAGTATTTAGACTACCATTCCATTTTTCACGTCATTTTCAGGAAATGTTGAAATGTTTAAAAAACAGAAAATCAAATCAGTAATAACAAAAAAGAAATGATGCAAAGTCAACATTTGACACATTCCCCTCTAGGTTTTCTGGCTGCAGCAGCAAATTAATCGAATGTATGGTGGGAACCCTGCAAATCCTGTACACGGGAAGACCACACGTGTTGTAAAGAATTGACAATGGGAAGTGAAAAGCAGAGCACACTGCACAGCAAATGAGACAACAACACAGCAATTCTGCCAGAAAACAAGCATTAGCTGCACAAAGCCATTGCTTTTACACTCAGTGTAATTCCACATGACTTCTAGTCTTGGGTTCAAACACATGCACCTCTGTACCATATTCCTTGGAACCCGAGGCTGGGGACGGGCTGCTGCAGCCTAACAGCCAATCAGCCGTGTTTAGAACAGTCATGCTTTCACCTATAGGGGTGTAAGGTGGGAAGGAAGTGAGGATCTTATGTACTCTACAGAGGACTAAATCCAGGTCTCAGGTAGACTACAAAGCATACAACAACACAGTAAACTAAACATTTGCATGAATATATCGAAAGAAGTCATCTGACATAGTTTGGAGGCAAGAAATTTGAACAAACGCAAGGCTCAAGGCTAACTCGTTCCCTAAGCAGCTGCGGTAATCCTAACAGCACAAAAATGTGCGCTGCTTAAAGTGAGTGGACAGATTTGAAAATGAACAGAATTGCAAAAAAATATACATGTAATTAAACTTGTATAAAAAAAAATCCTTTGTTGTAAGTAAATGCGACATACAGACGTTTCTGTGTCTTTTCTGTCCTGGAAGCAAACAAAAGTAGGTAGGAGACATAAGTCACACCGGCAGTAGCAAACAAACCGCCAGGTAATAGAATACACACGGAGTTAAAGACAGCAAAACATAGTCATTACAAAAATAATGGAGGCTCCTCGCTACCCTCACAACCCCCCCGCCCCTCCCAGACAAAAAAACACATTCAGAAGCAGCTATAAAAGACTGAAAAAGAAATCTGTCGTGAGGGCATATTGTTGTTTGGGCAGTTAAAAACAGAAATCAGATGCAGCTTTTCTTAGTTTAAAACAAGAGGACCTGAGCTGAGCAACAGAACCAATAAAGAAAAAAGAGTCCCACCCCCGGTCAGTGTCTCGGAAGAGGCTGGGGGGGGGGGGATGGAAACATACAAATGTCTGTTAAAACTTCCTTTTACATCGACAATAATTGGAAACCAAAGTTGCAAAATCGTTTTCTGTTAAACAAAACAACAATTATGGTTTGGCTGACCTGTCTCTTCATTACCAAAGCATTTTAAGACAATGCTGTTAAGACGGAATGAATATTACTATGCTGAGTTGTGTGTTGACTTAAGCCTGTTTGGCAGACACGTCAGTGTCACTCCTAATGAGTTTCACAGATCTCGTGTGACTCCAAGATTCACTTGGCTGCACTTCCTTTACAATGCTGTTGGATGGAATGATTTGCATTGGCCATTTCAGTCTCTTCTGCAGACAGATTATTTGATTTCTGCCTTACAAATGCTAGAGGTTGGATCTGTTGTCATGAATTAGTCTGTCCGTTTCTGCTTACCAAAGAGAAAAGTCAGGATAATAGGAATAAAACAAACTTGAGGCATATTTTCAGGTCACTTATGCTGCTACAGTCGTTCAACGTCTCCTTTTCATGTGTTTGGCTGTTTGTAAAATGCCACACTGTGTGTTGATCCGAATCCAAGTTGTGTCTCAACAGGAGGAGGCGAAAAACAAAATATGTAATGACGAAGCAATTTTTAGTAGTTGATCAATTATATACAGAGTATGTTTTTTAAAGCCCTGATTGAGAGAGTTGTTGCCATGTATGTGCCTAAAGTGAAGCTAGCCTCAGTGAGCTTGCCAGGTATTCAACAGTATCTACAGCAAATCTACGCTTCGTAGAAACATAAAAACCACAGCTTGCTGTTTATACTTATTCTCTTCCCTTCTGGCCAAGAAAAGTTGCATTTCTAGAGGTTTTCCACCATGTCTTGCCTTAACACAGCGAGAATGGAAATATATGTCTTTTTACCACATGACGTGGAAATGACACATGTATGCTTTTCCTGGCATCGTATAAGAGTCCAAAGCATGGATGTAAGGCTAACAGGGGATACCTAATTGACTTCCAGTGTGATGCCCTTTCCAAATGGCACATTTCTGTCTCAGTAAATTGGACATGAAGTGGTAGATGTATCATCGTCAAGCCCTAATTTCCGTGTTTATGTAATAATTTTACCCTCTTTGCAGTGTAACCTCACTAATCTCAAAGCTTCCATGATGTCTCATTTAATCCCTTTGATATTTATGAGTGTCACTACTCTGCTCCTCACATGATGATTAATTAATGGTGTTGGGCCTTTATATTTTCTTTAGATGAAACTCTGAATCTGTATTTTTGGCACGGCCATGCGACAGTCAAAGGTGAGAATAATTAGCTTTGGTGTTATCATTGCTTATAAAAACACACACATTTTAACAAAACCCGATTCAAAAACCCGATTCTATTCAGAGATCATCTCCCAAAGAAAACATGTAACCTTTAGAGCTTAAGTGGTGCTGGTGGGCTGACTTGCTGTTTCCCTGTTTAGTCCAGCTCTACATGTCTCTATATATGTCCAGCTAGTCTATATGTCAAAGTAAGTATGCTAGGCTACAAATCATAGAACCAGTAACGTCACCGAGGGACAAACAGTTAAACCATGCTGCTTAATAGAACTTGTTTTTGTTTTGTATGTTTTTCAGAAAGTTTAACATGACTTTATACTGTGTTTTACATGTTCTTTTTGCTCCTTTTTAGGTAATCCATGAGGAGGTATATGTCACAATTAAGCAGTTTAACAATGTTTAGAGTAGATTATAACATGACAATATAACACAATTAGGCATCTTATCTATTTTTAAAAAATCTGACCAAAGAACTGTCATGTAGATTCTTAAATGTTGAACTATTAATCCAAGTAACAGAAAATCAATTATTAGAGAATCACAGTTTTTAGAACATCAGCATGCCTGATGACTAGACTGACTTCCTACAAACCTTTTGTAGGTTACTTTTTGTATTTGAAAATGATGAAAACTAATCAATGGCAACCATATGAGAACTCCATTTAATTCTGGACAGCTTCGTTGGGGGGGTGGGGGTGGGAGTGGGGGGTATAACCCACTGGACAAGCTGTAATGAAGACAAATGAGTTGCCATGGAGATGGCCCATGGGCCTGAGTGTTGGCTGATGTCAGGTGAAGGGAATGTTGGGTATGTAGTTTGTTTTGGCTGCATGTGTAGTCCTGGCTCTGTCTGTTTAAACCATTAACTCTGAGCTCATCAAAAGTGATTTAATGTGCTTGAATATGGTCTGAGTTTGTTGTTAGTTCAATCTGAGCACAGCTATTTCTGGGACTGTTTGTCTGTTGACACATTAAGATGTCTAAGACTAAAGTGCAACATCTAACTTTTTCCATCATATTCTGTTTTAAGTGCTTCCCACTGCCTGTTAAATCAGCAATAGATAAATAATTGTTCTCAAGAAAAGCACAACCCTGAGCTCTTTTACATCTAACTGTACTGTCAAAAATGCTTCCAAGGCAACAGAGACTGAAAAAGGGGAGGATGAAGGGTGACAGATGGAAAAAAAGATGAGAAGGGATAGAGAAACACAGACAGCCAGAGGCTAAAGGAGGAGGGTGAAAAAAGAAAGTGGGACAAGGAAAGAAGAAGGGAGAGGAGTGCACGTTGGTGTTGACATTGAAGAGAGCAGTGATGCTTTAATGCTCTTGTAGAGGAAATAGTTTCCAGCGGGAATTTTGGGCTTGCACTCAAATACCTACGAACACACACACACACACGCAACCACAATTTGCCAAGCGGTTAGCGGAGGAGAGCAGAAGTGCTTTACCGTGTGTTTATACACATTTACTATTGGTTTTCTCATTGAAGTGAGCGTGTGTGGGTGTGTGTACGTGCATTTGCATGGATGTGTCTAGCTCTGTCTTTTTAAAGTCCTCAAAAAAGTATTTACCTCCACATGCTGAAAGTCTCCCAGACTGGTGATTTTGCAATGGATTTTTATTTCATTATGCTCATCAAACATCTCAGCCCAAAGCAAGTTTCAATATGTGCTTTCAAGCTCTGCTGGCGTTGAGCTGTTCTCTGGAGGTGCTCAGACTTTTATTAGGTGGACATTTTCAAATGGTTTTAAAAATTAGATGAGGTTTTGGACTGTAGCTGCTTGTTGTGGGTTTCTCATCCTGCTTCAAAACGTGGGTCATGACTCAGGTCAAGAGTACCGGCAAGTTTATTATTACAAATCAAATGTTTTAAAAAAACATACCTGATAATAAATTTGCACCATCAATCAAAAGTTCTACCAATTAAAGCTGCTCACATAAGAGTCCTAAATCAAGCAACATTCTGTGCATTGTTGGAACAAATTCAAAAGTGTTGCCAGAATAACTTCCACAGCTGATGAAACAGTCAGGTGGCACTTCATGTCAGATTTACTTGGCATGTGAACATTTATTGGGAGGACAGGGGGCATATTTAACCCACGCTGATGTGTACTTATCAGGAAATTTATGGCTGTTGAAGAGATATATTTTCGGCTTGTTCATAGACTCACTGCGAAAGCATAATAAAATAGATTTTCTAGATGTACATTTGCGTGCAATGATTATTTTCTAAACTGCTGTTCTTTCACACTTTGAATTTGGTTACTTTTTTGATAACTAGCTATCGTAAACCATTCTTTTAGTTTTTAGAGTGTAAAGATTACCTCATGGCACATTCATCATGCACTCATAAAGCTGGCATAAATCTTCTCATTGAAATCCCAGCAAAACATTTGATTACATGAAACTGTGTTCCTGCCAAGTGGTACGCACACAATTTTCATTATGACGATGACCCACAAATCTGTCTTTCTAGCTATTTTAAGACTCATTTGAGGTATCCCAAATGAATAAGGAATTGGGCACATTTCAAAATTAAAGGTACACAACAACTAATTGTAACCATCCTGAGTAATGACACCTGTTTATCAAGAACCAAACAAGTTGTGCCTTCTCACCTCCAGTTCCATTGGTGGTAATGGAGGGGCTGCCCAGGTTGTTCTTGTCCAGCTTGGAGCCTGTTGAATCTGCACCCCCCACTCGGTTATGAGGACTGGCTAGGTCCTGCATTTCCATAGACCTGGTGTTGGGGAAGAAGAGGGAGTGAAAATATGATGAACTGCCAATCCTGAATGAATAGAGGATCAACAACAATATTCTCTCACAGCTGGGGACCTACCCTCTCCATATATTAAATTCCCACTGAGCACATTCAGTTGCATACTGTACGCGTACACAGGAATCACTCAAAGTCGTAAACTTCCTGCTGCTCAGCACCAGTTAGCTTTACATGAGCATGTGTTCAGAGGCGCGAGAGACTGTCGTGGGCCTGCCGGGTCTTTTATGGAGTGGTTTGTGTGCGTGTGTGTATACACTTCTGGGTTCCAATACAAACCTCCAGCCTGCCAGCATGCTTTAGTTTTACAATGTGTTCCACATGCATGACTAGGATGAACCAGCGCACAAGGTGGCGACAGCAAAGTGAGGCTGTGTCTGTGAGTGTGCGTATGGATGCCTGGAAGTAGAATTAAATTAGATCTGAACAGATTAAAGAAGTATCTTTATGGTAGAGTTGTAGCCTACCTTCCATCTATCTAACACAACCATATATTTTGATCTCAAGGGCTTGTAACCATGGCAACATATCCTCATGATAAATTGAAAGTTACTAGTGTTTTCTGGACCCCTAAAGTTTGTTCTGCATAAGTACTGCAAGAAAACCAAGAAAAAACACTAATTTATGACTCGTCATCACTGTTGCCACAAAGCCACACATTGGTGGAATCTTTACTTGTAGACATAGCTTTAATATGTAACTAGTAAGAGCTGTTCCAACAAAGCAGAAGTGAAAAAGCTGAAAAGTAGAAGAATAAAAATAGGGAATGGACTGACTACTGACTTATTCGAAAAGGCTGATATGTAATGCATATACCAACTGAACATGAATGTTGAAATGTGTGCAAACGTGACAGACGAAGACCATTTGAACACAGATACTACGATTTCTCATGAAAAAGGTCAAAGGAATCACTAGAACATTGATCTTGAATGTAAAACTAACAGACAGACGACAGATTTGAAGGGATCAGGAAACAGCTGATGATGTTATGAAGTCATCAGTTATAATGTTATGTAGAAGGGAAGTGAGTAATTGTGAAATTGTCGAGCAGGATAGCTGATTAAGGTAAACATAACATGTCCCTGTGTATGAAAACAAAAAAGACTATTTGAAAACAAAAAAGAAAGTTGTACTGAATAAGGTCAACTTAATTAGTAAGAACACTCAAACATTACCCAACTTATAAGCTTTAGTAGTGTGAATTTAGATGGACAATAGTTGAAGAAAGGTCAATTGAAGAATGAGTTGAAAAACAAAAATGGCTAAAGATTATTTTAAAAAACTAAGAGTCCTTGTGACAAAAGTTGAAGATGAAAAGAATAAGCAGAATTGCATAATAAAAACCTGAAGATGATGATTTATCACTGTGTAGCTCAAAAGCTCAAACACATCTGAATCAAAGTGTAATGTAGTTTATCATTAAGCCAAACAATCCAGCAAGAAAAGCGGCAAAAGCATTCTCACAATAAGTCTGTTCTGTGCGTGGACAGTACTTTTTGTACGCAAATGTGAATGTGTGTGTGTGGGTTGTCGTGTATGTGAGAGAGCTCTGACTCATGCTGCCCGCAGGTTTGGTCACACTTGTGCTTTTGTGAGACATCAAAGCCAGAACGGACCGAGATGGAAGGAGAATTAAACAAATGCGGGCTGCTGTGTGAGACAGTGTGTCGGTCTGGACACAGGCCATCCCGATGTTCTGGGCAGATAGCATCACCACACATGACTGCAACCCACAGTCAGATTGACAGATAGAAACATATAGCTCTGAGCAGATAAGAAATGCGTGGCTAGAAGGTGCAAAAACGAGAATGTGTAAAAGATAAACGCAACCAAAATGAACTCCCTGTTCCAATTGATAACTAAGATAGCTTTTTATTCTGCTCTACTGCCCCTATTGGAAGGAAAAATTCTGATCATTCAAGTCAGGACTTAAACAAAAAACTAAAATATGGCCCCGGGTCGAAGTAAACTTAAAAGGCTTCACAGATTTAGTAACATTTTCTCCTGCTCAGAAGGCCTCATGCATCCTTTTCTTTTGTTTCTCAACAGCAGGAAATGATTCGGCCTCCCCTCCTTGCCCCCTTTTCCCCCTGCTCTATTTCATTCCTCTCAAGAGGTGATGGCAGGAGTTGGTGTTTCATAAGCTATTTTCTGGTCTTTGCATTATGCCTGGTCATTGGGAAAGAAAATTACATTTACACAAAAATGTACCATAAGTGGATTTAAATAGATAGATTAAAGATCTGTAACAAAGTATTATTTGGACTTAAGAAGATATTTTCAGTTTTTTTCTAATTAATTATTCATTATCTTGTATTATTTGTTGAGGGTGACATTTTCAAATGTAATTTAAAAGTATCATCAAAATCATAAAGCCATATATTTGAAATATCTTAGAGCAATTAAATGTTAACCTTTAAAATGTTACGCTTCGCCAGAAATCATACTTTACTTCTATTTAAGTTCTCGCACAATCGATAAACTGATCAAATTGGGATTTACCTCTGTATGTATGTGCGTGTGTATTTGGTTTTCAGTAACCAAGGTTTTAGGGGATCACTGCTGACCTCATCACTGCTCCTACCTGAAGTGAAACCTGACCTCTCCATGGCCAGAGAGCTCAGACACTCAGACGAATGGACACAGGCAAATACGCACATGTAGGAAAAAACACACACGTGTGTGTGTGTGTGTGTGTGTGAGTATACCTGGTGTCCGAAGGGTCTGGAACATGAGATTCACCGTGTGACTTCTTCACCTGCAGAGACAGCATAGAAGAGTAAGTTACTGAACACACACAACTTCACACGTTACACTGGGCACCTTTAGCTACCAAGAAGCTGTTAAATGTGTCATGAACAAGCCCCATAACCTTGTGTTAATAAGCCAGACACATGATATCAATATCAGAAAACTGTTGTCACCAGCATCACTTTCAATTTCAAACACTTTCAAAAGATGAAGAAAGAAATCTGATCAATAATTAATCATGAAATACCCAGCGGAAAACAAGAATTTCTTACTTTCTTGAATTTTATTATTCAAGAATAAAATATTAAGCTCCTAATAAATCACAAGCTGTCGGCCGCTTCACTCGCCACAGTGACAGACTTGCTAACTGGCGTCTAAGTGACAGATATTAACTTTCCCTTGTACTCTCGTGACCCCGCTCCATCCTGAGCTCGATTGCGGGTCTCAATCCTTACAGAGTTGAAAGGTCCCAGCGGGGTCATGTTAGGTCACAGCAGAGTTAGCTCTTTACTGTTAAAGATGTCACGGCAGAAACTGAACTCAGCCTTGACTTTGGGAGGGGGCAAGCAAGTCATTTGGCTGTGTCAATCACTCTGCAGCTACTTTTTATTTGAAAAAAAAAAAACACACACACACATTTCGGCCTCACCGCCTTTCCACTGCGGCGCTCAGTTCGTTCACAGAGGCTGAGTTTCTGGGTGTTTCTGTGTGTGACGGAACGCAGAACAAGGCTGCAGACCAGTGGTTCTCCTTTAAAATTCCTCGTTCTTATTCGAAGCAGGAACTAATTAGAACAGTAAATGGAGGGCGGGCCGAGGTCCAGTAGTACCAGCTGCCCTCTAATCATTGTGTCAACACACTGTTGAAGTGTAGGACACGCACGCAGTGTCAGACGCACACATTCGGACATGGAAATGGATATACCAGTCACACACACCAGCTAAAATCCCCATGCAGCATATATCCAAATCATTTGCACATTACTGCAATCATAGGTAGGTATACAGAGAAAGTGTCTGACTAAGCAGACTCTCCACGTATGTGGAAATTAGGTATTTTCTGTGAATGTGTGTGTGTGTGTGTGTGCGTGTGTGTCTGTGTGTGCAGAGTTTTGGTGTTATGGTTCTGATTATACGATTCTACGGAGAGCAAATAAGAAGCAGCACTTAGCTGTTCAAGACAGAGTTCAAAGGTTAGCCGCTCTCCTTGTATGGATCACTTTACACACAGGCACACACGCACACAGTGAGACACACACACACACACAAGCCACTTTCATGTCACGTTTCATGCTTTAGTGAAATTTAACAAGGCTGTCAGTCACGGCATCAACGGCATGGCCGTGAGAAACTGCAATCCACATGTAACGCACATGCAGGACCTCAGCACACACACACTCACACATGCACACACACACGGTAATACATAAACTCGGCGTGGTTTCTGTCTCAACACGATCTGTGAAAGTGCACGCAGGCTTTGATCCTGAACAGCTTCTATCATTGGTCCTCATCCACAAACGCTTTCCCCTCTTGTCTCAGTCTCTTATCTCTCCCAACACGCCAGCACTTTTATCTTCTTCTATCACACTTTTTTTAGATTTAAAAGAATCAAACAAAGTTGTTCAATTTCATTAGACAATTTAGCATTTTTGTATTACATATAATATATTTTTCGTTTATGTTTTTTTGTTTTCCAGTGTTCATGGCAGCTTTATGAACTTTGTGGTTCAGGATCCATTCAATCAACAACACTCTGAGTTGCTATATGAAAACGCTCTCTAAGTCCTCTACCTGGACAGTATCTTTCTTCTTCTTTGGGGAGCTTGCAATAGAATAGAACTAATTCAATTCCTACCGACAAAACAAAGCCCCTCTGACCATACTCTTAGGTGGCCGTAACGTCTGAATAAACCAATTGTGTCACCTGAGCTACTATAATAGTTGACCTTTGACCTGGGTGGCCGGTTGATCAATCTTGAAAACTACCTGGCTGGGAGAAGGTCTCCCAAAGGGAAACATATAGGCCCCACAGGTTTTCAGCACTAAGTAAGATTTATTTTTAAGAATTAGTTTGACTCACGTTTTAAGAGCTGTAATGATTAAATAAGGCCTAATTTCACTCTAAAAGAATGAGTCTGATAGAAGTAGAAAATGATTCCGATTATCTTCCAAAAATTTTACTTCAAGTTTTTCACACATTACAG